ATTTATAATCACAGCAAAATTAAAGTTGGGCTAGATATTTTAAAGGTTCAACCTCCTGCTCTCTCCACAGCTATCTTCAAAAATAATTTAGGTTGCTCAAAGTCTTTTCCTGTCTAGTTTTGTTTCCAAGGATGGAAAATCCACAGCCACTCAGGGAAAATGTTCTGCTGCTTGACCACTCTCACTTTGAACTTTCGTTTTCTTGCACACAATTGGGATATCTCTGGGTGCAGCTTCTCACTTTTATCTCTCATCCTGTTGGTGACTATCTCAGAGAAAAGCCTTGTGCCATCTTCCCTATAATTCTCTTTGGGAAGGTGCACATTGTAATTAGATCCTGCTGTGGGCAAACCCACTTCCTCACACAGCATGTGCTTCAGCCCCTCACAGCCTCTGCTGGACTGGCTGTTCCCAAACTGGACAGAGTGAATGCAATGTGCCCTCAGCAGTGCTGCACACAGAGCTCATTCCTGCTGGCTAGATGGAGAATTCAGCCCTGCAGGTGTTGGAATCCCATGAGGAACTTCTTTTGTCCACCAGGATGGGCAGGCCCCTTTCTGCTGGGCTGCTTCCAAGCCAGCTGGTTCTCAGCATCCTGCAGCCTGTCCCACATTCAGGACTTTGCCCGTCTCTGTTGACCAACTGGAGGCTCTCACTGGCCCTCTCCTGGAGCTTGGCAAGCCTGCTCTGACTGGTGGCCTCCTGTGCAGCAGCTGATCTCCCCAGCCTGGCAAGGGGAGCAGCTGGAAACTTGCTGAGGGCGCACTCTGTACCACCCCCTGCACGGTGACCTTGTCAAACAAGACTCGCTCCAGTACTGATCCCTCCAGACAAGACTTCAAACCTTCACAGCCTTCAAGCCTGGGGGTTCAGCCAGTTTCTCCTGCCCACCCCACCCACATCTCCTCAGTTATAAGGCTATTGAGGAAACCCACCAAAAGCCGTCTTAAAAACAAGCTTGAATTACATCCTCTGCATTGTGCACGCTCACTAAGCCCAAAGTCAGTGACACTGGCTCAGACACAACTGAACTGAAATGTGTAACTTTTAGCCTTTGTTCAGTCACCTGCAGTCTTTAAATGCCATGAACTTTCCAATGTCACAGGGGGTGAGCACAAAATACAACTGGAGAGCTCCCTCAACGCTCCAATGAGTGTGATGTGGCCCAGTGGACTCGGATATGCCCACTTTGACAGAGTGGACTTTCTGTGGGGAGCCTCCCTCCCCTGCCCAAACCCTGCTGCCAGCCACAGAACCTTGGGAGATGGGAAAGGGTTTTTTCCCAGCAAAGTCCAAGATGAAAGAGGTCTCTCCTTTTTCCTTGACCTTTATGGCCAGTTTAATCCCCCAGTCCTGCAGCAGGCCCACATATTGCTTGTCTTCCTTTTGCTGCCAAATCACCTGTAGAAGCTCTTTATGTTCCCCTTCACATCCTTCAGTTGCAACTCCAGCCAGGTTTTGGCTTTCCATGTTCCACTCCTCCACTAAAATACTGACCATCCTCCTCTGCATGAAGTGATGAAAAATCTCACACCAGTGTAATTTGCTACTACCTGCTGAAGGATTTCTAAAAATGCTGTTTAAGGAAGGTGCTTATCTCTCATCCTTATCTCATTTTTTGGAAGTGGCAAGCATATCCAGGTGCCTGTTTGAGCATTTATTTAGCTGGTACTGTGGAAAATGTGATTGTTCCAAATTGTTCTTTCGTCCTTTGTTCTTTGTTGTTAGTTGGTTTGTTTCCAGTAACCTCAAATTTGAAGAAGAAAAGGGAAAGTATACACACCTGATAGGGAATCAAACAATTCATTACCTTCAGCATTCAGCTTTGACTGCTAATCCATCTCTCGAGGATTTTCTCTAATATTTTGTAGTTATTACAACTCTGCTGAAGCAGCCTCACATGGTTATTATCAAATAACCCAGGCCCTTAATGAGAGTTCCTTCCTATTATTCAGATCTGGACTATGTGCTCCATCGTCCTCTAAAAAAAAATTGTAGAGAAAAAAAAAGTAAAAAAAAAAAGACCTAAATTAGCCAAAGTTTATTAGTTCTAGCCAGCTCATAAAAAATAAATTCAAGGGTTGTTTTTTCTGACTTTCCAGTTCTAGAAAATAGAAGTGTTCATTGCTTCTCAAGCATCTGTATTTAGTCTAGAATGTCCCAAGACAGGTTTCTTACACTTAAGAGTAACACCAGTTCAAAATATTCTACATTGGTAATTTCATTTGTTGTTTTTGGCAGGGAGTGATTGCTCTCCTCAGTTTTCTAAAATAAGTATTTCTGCAACATTTTTTCTATTAAAGATGTGGAACTACGCAATAGGAAGTTGTCTGAATTACAATATAGTCAGAATTGTACTTATTCTGCACAGTTGTGTGTTGTAACTCTGCTTCAGTAACATGGCTGGTACCACAACTGTATTTAAGGTTGCCAAAATTTCTCTTCAAAATTCCTCTTCTGGGTGTTTACAAGTTTGTCATTTTTTATAGTTGAATTGGTGCATTAATTCTCTACTTTTGGGAAACTTTAAAGATGCCTGAATAGGATGAACTCATACTTCTGTTATTGTAATAGAGTCATCTGTCACAAGTGAGAGATGGTTTGTATTTACCAGTTGATTCTCTAATTGCTCAAAAAGCCGCACACTTATTTGGATTATTAAATTTGCCCTCTCTCATCTGGCTGCAGAATAGAATCAGATCCAAATCAGGGCTTAGCTGATGAAAAACTGACAAAGCATGGTGCCATTACCCCTCTCACAATTCTCTTTTCCCTGTGACTGTGCCAGCCCCAGGTCTGTCTTCCAAGATCCCCTCCTGGTGACTGGAGAAAGTCTAGGAGAAGTAAAAACCACCTCTATAAGTAGGAAAGGCATGGGTGACAAAGGAGAACAGGAGCAGACAGTGGGAAGGGGGTTTTGCCCTCCCTTTCCCATGGACACTGAGGCACAGGGCAGGAAAAGAATGATGAACAACTTTGCCTTCCTGAAAACCTAGTCTTGATCTTTAAAGTTCACTTTTAGGTGTCTTCACAGGGTCTGTGCTGCTCGCTGCAACTGTTCCTGTCATCTTTACCCAAGTCTTTGAATTATGGATGCAGTGATGGCATCTGGGGAAGACCAAGAAAGAACTCAAGAATGCTGAAAACACAGAACAATGGAAATGAGAGTATACACAGCAGTGAAGTGACTAAAACACAGGCCTTGTGTTCTCCAGCAATGGTTGGTAAGCTAAAAACACAAAATCAACATTCCCCTCTCTGGAAGACTGATGTAGAATTTAACCCTACAGCCACACCTGGGCAGAGGTCAGGGACAAAGCCCTTTCCAACCTTTCCCTCTGATGTAAGAGTGCTTTAGCTGTTATTAGCCAAATATCTTCTGCAGCCTCCAAACAGGGCCAAGGTATCTGCTTCAGCTGGCCAGGCCTCCATGAGGTCTCATCTCCTTCTCTGGTTTCACTCCTTTCATGCATTTTGTCCCTCCATGCAGTTCTCCACTGGTCTTGGGCCTCTGGTTTCCCCCAGCTGGACTTTTTCAAAGTTCCAAAACAAAGCACTGTTGCTCAAACTTACTAGTTTAACCTAAGCCAGTACTCCTAAAACCTCAGCTTCTGAAGGGGAAGATATTTCGATATTAACTTGAGCTTTCAATAAGGAAAAAAGAGTTTTGTTATTTCCCTTTGGGTTTTGGAGAAAAGTTCGAGCATACCAAAGATAAAAATTCTAGGCTCTAAACCAAATAACATAAAACATATTATTTCAAGATGCTATTTTTAAAGACCGAGATTTCACTCATCTCATGACTTTTGACCAGAGGCTTGGCTCAGGATATGACTTTGCCTTCCACCACATGGAAGGGTTAGCAGAGAGACCACAGGGCAGAGATGGAGATCCCTAAAATTCCCACTGTCTTCTGACAGCTTGTCCTGTGCCCCAATGCTTAACATTCCTGGAAGATCTACACCAAAACTGCTGTAGATTTCCCCTCTTTTTCCATGTCAACCATGCAACAACTACAAGAGACAAGACCGTCAGCAGGCCTGAAACCTTCCAGTAACCAACCTGTGCAACACCAGGATGCAACTTCACGAAGAATTTTCCTTTTGTACAAACTCCCAAATGCGGAATTAGAGGATCAGGGTTGGAAAGGACCTTAAAGACCATCCTGTTGGGCTGGGACACCTTTCACTAGACCACCTTGCTCAAAGCCACATCCAACCTGCCTTTGAACACCACCAGAGCTGGGGCATCCCTGGCCAACCCTCATCGCTCTCACATAAAAGCATTTCTTCCACACACCCAACCTAATTTCCCCCCGTTTCAGTTTGCACCCATTTCTCCCTGTCCAAATTGCACCAGGAAACCACCTGAGGCCGCAAATTACCCGGTCACCTCCAGGTGTCACAGGGACGCCCGGTCCCACCGGGACACGTCGGGGCAGCCACAGCACCTCATGCGGGACCACCCTCGCCCCTCACGCAGGGGACATAAAGGGCACATACAGGGCACACACCGGGCACGTACAGGGCACACACGGGGCACACACCGGGCACATGCCCGGGACCCCCGGCAGCCCCTCGGGCACGACGCCCGCAGCCCCCACAGGCGCCGCCGCGGGACCCCGCGCGGGCGGGCGGGCGGGCGCTGCCGTTGGGGCATCCCCGTCCCCGCCGGGGGCCGCCCCGCCGCCGCCCCCCGGCAGCCGTGGGGCCGTGCCCACCGCGGCCCCGGGCGGCGGAAGTGTGTGTAGGGGGCAGTGCAGGAATTTCCTGTGACGTCCCGGCCCGGACTCCATTAGGTGCAGCTGGGCTGAGAGGAGACAAACCCGGCGGGCAGCGAGCGGAGCGGGCCGGGCGCCTGGGGCTGCCGGGCGGGGGCTCAGGGCAGCGGCGGCCGCCATCGCCAGAGGGAGCCCCGAGCGGGCGGCGGCGCTGCCTCCGGGACCCCCGGCGGGCGCAGGGCCCCGCTCCGCCTCCCCTCGCCCCCGCCGCCTCCCCCTCCTCGCCCCCCCGGCTTCCCACCACGGCCGCTCTCGGCGAGGAAACTCTGGCCTCCGCTTCCTCCTCCTCCGACTCGGACACCGGCGGAGCCTCCCCGCCTCCGCGGAAGAAAGCCCGGGCCTCCCCGGCGGCGGCGGAGGGAGCAGGAGAGCCCGGGGCTTCCGCGGGCAGAGCAGGCCTCACCTCGTCCCAGTCCCCCTCGGTGCCCGCCGGGCTCGCCCCCGCCGCCGCCCCGCTCAGAGGCAGCAGCAGCAGCAGCGGCGGCATCGCCAGCAGCACCATGCAGGCCAACGGGGCGGGAGGGGGCCAGCAGCAGCAGCAGCCGCCGCCGCAGGGCCCGGAGCTGGGCTGCCTGGCCGCCCAGAACGGCGAGGCCTCGGCGGGCACTGCCGCCGGTGACCAGCTGGCCCACGCCAACGGGCTGCTGCCCTCGGCCAACAGCGGCGGTCCCGGCGGCGGCAGCCCCGGCGGGCTCGGTGTCAACAACGGGGTGCCCGCCGCCGGGGGGCCCGGCCCGGCCGCCGCCGAACTGGGGGGCGGCGGCGGCGGCAGCGCCCTGAAGAAGAAGAAGCGACTCTCGCAGTCCGACGAGGACGTGATCCGGCTGATCGGGCAGCACCTCCACGGGCTGGGGCTCAAGTAAGTGGCCGCGGTGGGCGAGGGGCAGCGCGGCCGGGCCGGGGGACGGGCTTCTTCCTTCCTCCCTTGGTTTCCTGCGGCGCCCTGAGCGGAGGGTCCCCCCGGGGCCGGGGCAGCCCCGCCGCCCTCCGCTCCGTCCGCGGGGAGGGTCCGGAGCGGGGTCCCCGTGGAGGATGGGCAGCCCGGAGCGGGGAGGAGGGGAGAGGAAGGGATTCGAGGTGAGGGGGATTGGTGGCCAAAGCTGCCCCGTCGCAGCCCGGAGGTCTCCGGCGAGAGGAGAGCAGTGCGTGGCGGTGGGGCAGGCCCGCTCCCGGAAAAATGGAGCCGGAGCTGTGTTTGCCAAACCCGTGCCGGTGTCTAGCGAAGGGACAGGACAGGAGCTTCCCCTGCCAGGGATGGCAATATGGAAGTCGGGTTGCCCACCGATAAGGGTAGATCAATACAAATGTGTTAGTGGGGGAGAAGTTATCTGGTAAACATAATGGAGCCCGCAGCTGGGCGTGGGGGGGCGGCTTTTCGCAGATGAGCTCTAAGATTTGGCTTGTCAGCTCGGAGGAAGCGACACAAAGTAAACTGCCACTTAAGCAGGCCGATTGGCTTCGCTCTGGAAACCTTTGGCCCTCTAAATGGTGAAGGCCTCTGTAGATTTGTGCTGGACACGTGTTTTTGCTAATAATCTTACTTGTAAACAAGAAATGAGAATGTTGGCCCTTCCTTCAAATCAGAATAGACAAAATAATTTCCCAGTGGAATAGGGGAAGTCTTAAAGTGTTTAATCATAGTGCTTTGTGAGTAAAGCTAAAGCTAGCCAGGATGTCATCAGTTTGGAAGGAAGGTAGAGAAGTCCTGTGAAGTGCTTGTGTAGCCACAAAAGAAGTCTTCAAAACACTGCAGAATGGGTCAGCTATAAAGAACATATTCCATAAAATAAATTGCCTCTGACACAAGAGGCAAGTTTACAGCAGCAGACAACTCGTGACTATTCATAGATGACACCACAGTAAATAAGCTATTTTTAGTATAAAAGGGGGAGGGCTACAGGTCCCTGAGTTTGTTTATTTTGTTTTAAGGAGCCAGTCTTGTAAGAAGTGATGAAGAAGGAAAAATTAGTTTAGTGTGCCAGATGTTGTAGCTCTCCTTGTTGTTTTAGGGGGGAGGTAGGGAGGGGGCAGGGGATGGCAGCCAGTAGCACACAGCTTTCTAGAGTGTATCTTCCTTCATGAAGTTTATCTTCTGTGCAGGGCTGGCTGTTTGTGGTGGCTGGTAAGTCACATACTTTATGGTACTTCAGCAAAGCTTCCAAGCTCCTTGACAACTTGCTTTAGGTAGAGGTAGCTTTTGACATGTCTCAGGCAACTGAGATCACCTTCTTGAACAAGCATCTGAATCTGGTCATCGTTTTCTTGTTTAATTAAATTACTTTATGGTAAACTGTTATCATAGCAGGCGGTGTATTTGTGAGGGTGAAACTGGTCGGGTTTTTTTACACTGTATCTCTCCTGCAGCCAGACTGTTGATCTCCTCATGCAAGAGTCAGGATGTCGTTTAGAACATCCTTCAGCTACCAAATTCCGCAATCATGTCATGGAAGGAGAATGGGATAAGGTAACGTAGGGCTTATAGGACTGTATTAACCACTGTTGAAATTTATAGTATCTATGAGACAATTCAAAATTCATCCTCCTTATATAATTTTTTTTTCTCTTCTGCCGATTTCTGCAGGCTGAGAACGACCTGAATGAACTTAAGGCCTTAGTGCATTCTCCGCATGCAATTGTGGTAAGAGGCACACTTGAACTCTTTCAGAGCTGTGTAGTTGGACTAATTGTAGTGGTGTAATCTTTCACTATGGAGTTGGTTGTCCATAGTTCTTGTTTTCTCTTTTTTGTTTACTTTAAGCTGCTTGCATGCTATCTCAAACGTCATACTAATCTGAACTTTTTTTAATTCTGTTGTAGAATGTGAGATAGGCAGCCCAAAAGTATTGAGGCTAAGATTTGGTGTACTGAATGTTAAAACTCTATTAAATATACCTAACTGATAAAATATAAATCCTGTCACAGTCCTAAAATAGGTCAGTTTCTGTAGAAACTGCCTATGTTGAATACTAATTTCAACCTTGAAATACTTCTCACAATCTCTGTGTTTATAGGAGTTAGGATTTCTTGAGGGAAGTTTAGAAGTAAAATGCACTAATACTGATGTGGAGTTGGCATTGTAATAGCACATTACAAGAATATAGAGGCTGCTATAGACCATGAACAATACTGTTGCTTTTCCAGATGGCTTTTAAAGAGCAAATGCATTTGTATTGCTGTTTGGGATTTTATTTAGAGCTTTTTCTCTTTGGGTGGCTTTTTTTTTTTTTAAAAAGATAAACCTAGAAATAGAAGGTTGGTGGATCCTGTGACTTGACACTACAATATGTGTTGTTATTATTTCAGTTGCTCTGAGTAAAGTGTTTCTTGTTTTGAATTTTGGATCTCAAGATATAAATCATCACTTGGCCCTTCAAAGAGCTTGTTCTTTTGTTGTAAAACGTTTATTTTAGTGAGATGAAGTTACAACAGCTATGGTCACTTAGGAAGCAAACTGTATCAAGGCTTTTTGAAGTGTCTGTGACTGTAAACAATGAGGAATCAGCTGATGGCTGCTTAGTTCCACTTCTAGCTGATTCATTTGTTGTCAAGACAATTTCCTGTCTGGTGGGGGAGGGAGAGAAAGAGAGAACAGGAAATGAAGTAGGAAAAACAGATGTTTAACAAAACATCAGAGGGTACTTGACAGAAGTTTACATTTGGTTCTATTAGTTTGGTCAAAGCTTAGCACCTCTTAATTACACCGACCAGTAGTTCACTTTCTCTTTTGTCCAAGACCTGAAGGAGTTGAGAATTTTGCATGCAGCTTTCAAGAGTTTGTGTGGCCTGAAATATGGAACTGCTATATTGGAATGTGAATGGTCATTTGAAACAAATTTTCTCATGTTTTTGACTTCTGAAGTTACAAAGTTTGTCTGTAGTACTAAAATGTTTTGCACGTTAGTGAGTTGAGAGATTTAATTGAGTTTTCAACATTGTAGTCTTTGGAGACCTCAGTTTGAGAAAGAAGAATATTTTCCTTCTGTTGTTCTGAAGGGCTCCAAGAGCATTCTCTAATATTGATTTCTTAACTGGTTCCATAAAGCTTGGTGCAGTAAAAACACTTGCTTTAAACTGAACTTTACCTGAACCAATATGAACTGTTTTCTTTTTAAAGTTGATCTCCTTTATATTAGCTTGATATAATTTAAAACAGGTAACAGTTTTGAATATCTTACATGTGCAAGACAGCATTATTTGCAAGAATAAGTTGAGCTTGTGTTTATGGAGTCTCCTCCTCCCTCCCTGTCCAGCTTTTGTGCACATGGTTGAGGTTCTGGGTGGGTTTTGGTGCTGGGAAGGTAGAGAAAGGTCATGACAGGTAAGGAGGGATGCTTTGTGCTCTGTAGGTATTCCCCACTGCAGAAAAGTCAGAGCTAATGAGGGTGATAAATGTCTTGATCAGGAAAAGTCCAAACAAGGTGCTGCTGCAGGTAGCTCTTTAAAAATAGAAAACTGGATTTTGAATTTCCTGACTTGTGACTCACACTATGTGACTAGATGTTTTAAAAATGTGTGCGTATAAGAAGAATGGGTGCCTAAAAATTTAGATGACACAAGGGAGTATTTAACTAAGTAGGGTGTGTGTTCTGTGGTTTGTTTTTGGTTTGTGGTTTGGGTGGGTTTGTTGTTTTTTGGGGTTTTTTTCTTACAGTTAATATGACCTGGACAAAATAACCGGGATTGGTTTTGAAATGTCTGGTCAGTGAAGGGAGATCCATATGTGTTCAGAAAATCCTGTTTGTATTTAATTTCCTGATTTTTGCAAAGTGCTTTCAGTTCTATGGGTGACAACACGAAACATGAAGGGGCTGGTGTCAATTTTTCAAGCTTTGATGCAGTGTGTTGGTATGGGGGGAGGAGGGTGTGGCAGCACACAGGACAGTTTGCTGTTTCTATTTGTGTTAACACAGCTGAGGGCTGTACAGTATGTGATTAGTCATGTTTGCTTTTCCAGCATATCAGATACAGCTCTCTTAGAAAATCTGTAGGAAAACTTTATAATTGAATTAAGCATGATGTTTTTCCTTCAGCAACAGTTAGAAAACACCAACTTCAAGCCAGCCTGAGGTTTTGCTTACTTTGGGGCTACTCAAGCATGTGATGGCATCCGTCTTGGGTACTTAATTGCACCTAGGAAGAAACTTTGGGATTATTCCTCTACAGTCATCTAGAAAATACCTTCAGATTGTTCTCTTTACTTATTCCAGAGGTATACAGCCTGCAGCAGGCAACACAATCTAAAAAGTGAGTTAAATATTATCATTTGAGTCAAGTGCTCCACCTGCCTGCATGGTGTCCCTCTTGCTACCAGCATTAAGGGCAGTTCCCTACTGGAGTTAATTACTCCCTGTGTGGTAGGACTTGGTGTGGTTGAAGCCTCATTAAATTCTTTGCTGAATTGTGTATAGCACAATGTTTTCTGCTCTTTACATATCAGGGCATTTAAGTTTTGGATTGTTTTATAGTGCTTTCATCAGTGTTTTGTAAAAACTATCACAGTAAAAGACTAGAGAGTAAAGAAAACTCATGTCTTAGTTCTGCAGGCTGTCACATTTAAGTTTTGCATTGTTTTTAAGTGCTTTTTGTCAGTGTTTTACAAAACTATCACAGTAGAAGACTACAGGAAAAAGAAAACTGAGGTCTTAGTTCTGTAGGCTGTAAGTAGAGATGGCTACTGTGTTGAGTTTGTTTTGAAACATCTGCTGATAATTTCACCATGTATTTTAGTTACCTATTTAATTTCAAAGAGCAGTTGTTACAGCAATGTTTACTTACTTGGGACTCCTAGTACATTAGTAAAACTCTTGTGGAGCTTAAGATACACAGGTTGAAAATAACACCAAAATCTAGACATAAAATTAGTTTATTTGTTAAACTTCTGAAGATTCACTGCTGCTTACAGTTACTGATCAGAATGGCCCAATTTCTTGCCTGTGGCAGTATGTTTGTTCTGTTCCTTTCACAGCTTTGTTTGCTGAGGTTTTCACCTTTGGGTATGTAGTGATGGTGAGTTATGGTACCTGCCAGACTTCCTAGAATTTAGGATTCTGGAAGGAGCTTTCCTGCTAACAGGATAAGGAAGGAGTACAGTACTAAGCACTCATGTTAGTAATCCAAGGTTGTAGTTTGAAGAAAGAAAAATGCTAATAGTGCATACATTGAAACAAACAAACAAAATCCTGTAAATCTGTTAACTCTTAGTTCTGCCCCAGGGTTATCAGAGTTCAATTTACATTTAAATAATAGCTTGTGGAAACAACAAATAATGCAGTTTATCCTCATCCTTTCTGTAGAGGTGAGGGACAGGATGAGGGATAATAACTGAACAAAACCAGGCAGAACTGCAATGCTGACACTTGGATTGGACTTTTCCAGGGGTCCATCAGGGTGAGGAATCTTGGCTATAGCTAAGCAGTGGTGGTGTCTGAACTTTAAATTGTTCAGCAGTCATGAGTGTAATGATGCTGAATTTCCTTTGCAAACACTGAGATGATAACAAATCCCAGGCACTTGTGTTACTTTGGTATGGTTTTCATTATGGTCATTTTGATTTCCTTTCTTTGTAAGGCACCCAAAAAACAAATGGAGAAAGAATAAGCTACTTAATCAGCAGTTTGTGCTTTTGCTATATTTTAGAGTTCTCATTCCTCCTAGAAGAGGTTGTTTGGGCTCTAAAAGAGATGATGTACCAAAAATGGTCTTGGGTTTTGTAGAAGGTGGTGTTGGAAGAAATTAGAAGTACTATTAGGAGGGTGTAAAGGAGTTGAGAGAAATTTATTTGCCAGCAAAGTCAGTAATTGCACAGAAATAAAAAGTAGGAGACAGTGAGTGTCCCAATGTTAAAAAATAACCTGCAATGTAATATTACTGGAGTGTGACTTTTGCCTCAAGGAAATTCGTGCCATTGTTTGAGTATGCTGTAGGGCAAGTTTTGGAGCAGTTATCAAAATAGCTTAGTAATTCAATTTAATTTCCCCATCAAGACTTTAGTCCCTGCCCTCTGCTGTCGATAAGTTACTATTTCAAGTTGCTTATCTCTTATTCTAATTCTCCATTATGGGAACACTAGATTGCGGCATGAAATGTATAATACTTTGTTATTCTGGGGGCTTTTATATTCCTAATGTGCCTAAGTCACACATGGCACTGATGGCCTCTTTTTTTTAAGCCATACTTTCTAGCCTAGGACTGAAATTACACCTCTTTGGCAACAGCATTCTGAGTGGTATTCCTGTAATGCTTTCATGGAATTGCTCAGACTGATGTTGTAAAACCCACATTATAGGATTTTTCTGCTCTTTTTACTTTTTCCTCTAACAAAATGAAATTAATGTTCCAAGTCCTGAAAGTAAGGAGGGAGAAAAGGTGGGTTATCACATTTAATGGAAATATAAATTAAATATTATATGCAGCGGATGGAGAAGGAAGATAGGAAGGAATTACAGTTTTTGTTACAAATAAATATCAGCCTGTTTTTGATCTGGTGGTGATCATCAGTGTGAGGTGACCAAAAGCAGTGAAATACAGTGTGTGTCTGCCACCTGGGCATTTCATGTATCCTGGAGAGCTTGTGCACAGCTGGTGGAGGAAGTGAAGTTCTCATCCCTCCTGCTGCTGGTGTATAAGCAAACAGCATGGGGCCTGCTGGCCTGCTGCATGGAGCCAAGCACTGGGCTTGGAAATAATTGGGAAATCTTTCATTTGGTTTTTCACATGTCAGAACGCTGAAAAAAGTTGTCTCACCTGGAAGAACTGTACAGTAATGGTCTAATAATTCCAAATTCAAATAAACGAAAGAGCTGGATTGGGAGTGCAATGCAGGTTTGCCTGTCAGATACAGGACAGCAGAGCACTGCAGACAAGTTTGAACATAAATCATCTTTACTGTGTCATGTTTTATGCTTCACAAAGCTGTGTGGTAAGTTAATAGCACTGTATGTGGAAACTTCATTCTTTTGAAGAACTGAGTGTGTCTGGAAATGAAAATGCTTCATGTTTTAACTTTGAATTTAGCATCTAGTGAGCCTTAAACTTTCATGTGAGCTTTAATAGGACAAGAACATCTTAAACTTCCCAATTATCCCTCTACTTAAGGAGGCTGGCAGTGTGTTTGAAACTAAGTAAACATTGACCAAATATGAGCATGAAAATAGTGAGGTGCCTGAGGTCTGATGAAAGCAGAGGAAACTGGTGATTGAACTGGTGGTGTGTTCATTAGGAAAGCAAATGTAGTTTGTTGCACTTTATTTCCAGCCTATGTCTTACCAGTTTGTCTAAGCATGAACATTTTCCTCCTTTTCCTCTTCAACCTGGTGAGTTTTGTGGACTAAACCTGTAATTTCTGGTAGCAGTGAAGAATGTGTACAAACACAAAATACTTGATTTCATCCAGAAACAACCATACTATGTACTAAATTACTATTAAAAATCTTAATATAGTAACCTAATACCTAATTTTTTTTCACCCACTGATACTTGCTAGAAACACAGGCTTGATTTTTTTTTTTAAAGAAAACAACCAAAAACTGTGAAAGGAACACTATGAAATAACAGCACTTAATTCAGAATGTTGAAGTGACTCCTAAATATAGGAAACTGGTTTTTTCTGTAATCCTGAAAACAACACCCAAGGAAAACAAGTAAACATGGAACTACAGAAAAAACCCAAAACCTGAGGCAGTGTCAATTTGTTACTGTTATATGTTATGGAGCTATGCAAACAATTTATGTCAACACCTATGTAAACAGTGTGAGAACTTGATGAGTTGCCCTGTTGTGTTCTGTGCTGTCATGCAGTCTGAAATATGAGAATTGCTGATTTGGGGCCCTTTTCTTGATAGAATGTTTCACTGGAAAACCTGAGTAATGCAGGATTTGAAGGGTGATGACTAAAGAGAGAGCAGGTGAAAATGAGAGATCTGAGGAATGAGATAGGAACTACTTGGAGCCCCATCAGGCAGGGAAGAAATTCATGGATAGCTTAATTGCTGCAATGTTGTTGAAAAGCCAACAAAAGAAATTGAGTAATGAAACATTACTTAGAGCTGTCTTTCTGAAGGGCATAGTAGAATGGTTTCTACTGTTCTGTTTAGGCTCAAACGTTTTCTGAAACTTCAGTCAACCTTTTTCCCCTGACTGCTGCTTTCTGTCATGTCAGAGGATGAAGTTTTTGCTGCTGCAGCAGAAGTACCTGGAATACCTGGAGGATGGCAAGGTCCTGGAGGCACTTCAGGTTCTACGCTGTGAACTGACGCCTCTGAAATATAACACAGAACGCATTCATGTCCTCAGTGGGTAAGTGTTTGCACTTTGAGAGCTCTTGCAGAGATGGTTTTTAAGGAATTCTGTAGCTTTTGATAGCTGTTGTTGTGAAGGCTCAAGCTGTATTAAAGCTGCTATCCTGGTGGATAATAAGCTGTAGTGAGATGTGATAAAATGCTGAGTAAAGAATGCTGTTCAGTAGATGGTGTTTTGTTTCAGATGCTTGAAAACAACCTGATGATGATTTACTCTAGTACTACTAGAACCCAAATTATTACATATGTATGGTTTTCTGATCTTGAGAATTATTAGCCAGTTTCCTTAAAATTTAATTGAGTATAATCTGGTTTGTTCTTAGATGAAAATAAGACCATCCTAAAATTGCTTGTGCTTTGTTTTCTTTTTATATGGGCAGTTTGCAGACATTTGTTCAGAAGATGTGTGTTTGTGTGAAATAGTTCCCTGCCTTTTTCCCTGTTGGTCTCAAGCTCAACTTACCTGTTGCCAGTTAATTACAAATGTTATGATTTGTACTGTATCATGCTTAAAAGTGAAAAGAATGATTCCAAAAAGACTTGGTCTGTTGGTGTATGTGCCCTTTTGGAACAGGTACCTGATGTGTAGCCATGCAGAAGACTTGCGTGCAAAAGCAGAGTGGGAAGGGAAAGGAACAGCTTCCAGATCTAAACTTTTGGACAAACTCCAGAGTAAGATGTTCTAGTATTTAGAATTTCTTCTCATCTCTGTTAAATCCAGTGTAATTTACACATCCCAGGAAACTGACTGTGTGTGTTGGTTGGTTGGATATTTGTATTTCTTGGTTCATGGGGATACCTTTAGGTGCCTTTACCCTTTGGTCTTCTGTACTTTAGCTTTTGCTGTCTCTGATAAACTGTTTGTAATAAGAATTGTTACTTCTTAGCTCTGCTGCATGCAGTAGTGATATACTTGGTGATTAAATGTGTGGTTTAGGGAGGGGGGTGTGTGTGTTATAAATGCCTGCCACAGTGAGTGGTGGAAAGTAAGTGTGGCCTATCACCTGTAGTGATAGTGGTGCTGGTTGATAGTGGTCTCATACTTTGCTCTGAATTGTGGTTTCTCCTCTCTCTTGTGGCTGTTGTAGAACTCTGGACCAAAGTTATAAAACCCATGGTATTCTTTATTTTCATAGTGCTGATAGAAAATTCCCTAAAGGAACCTAGCTGATGGTGTTGTTATGCAATATTGTAGATTTGTAAAATACTGAGTTTTGAGTTAGTTTGTGTAAATGGTGCTTGTTGGCCAGGACAATGCACTCTAGAACAACAAACACCTTGCATACAGCTCTGCTTCCCAGAAGTTCATGCTTCTAATTCCAGGTGTATATCTGTACATTCAAACTCAACAAGCTGCGTGCTGTTATTTACTCAGATCTCTTCCAAAACCACTCCAATCAAAGTACGCTCTTACTTGTAACATGCATTTGAGAAGTCTTTTTTCCCTTCATTTGTTTATTTTTTCTCCCTAACTCCCCTGAAGCCTACCTGCCCCCATCAGTGATGCTTCCTCCGAGGCGTTTACAGAACCTGCTGCGCCAGGCTGTGGAACTGCAACGGGACCGGTGCCTCTATCACAACACCAAACTCGACAGCAACCTCGACTCTGTCTCGCTGCTAATAGATCACGTTTGTAGTAGGTGAGGAACCTTCCTGACTCCTGAGATGGGCAACCTTTCATTGATCTTTTAAAATTATCTGATGGTCAGAGATGTGAGGGCTGCTCTGAGCTGGTTTTACAGGATTTTACTGGGAAAAAGCAGTAAAATCCTGTTTTGCTAAATGAGCGGTGGAGGTGGGGAGTAAAGGAGGTGTGGAGGGGAGATTTTGGTAGCTGGATGTAGGGTAATGGGATCAGACTGAAGGTTAAAAATTTTAATCAGATTGGTGTAAAAAGAAGATGCTGCTATGCTAATCCATAGCCACTTGTTTCCAGTCTATTTGTTCATCAACACAGGATTGCTGTGTTTTTCCACTGGAGATTCAGTGGTGTGTTGCTTACCCAGACTGTCTCCAAGGGTACTGGAATGTAGAAAGCCCGCTGAGGCATGGTTCTATGAACTCAACTTTCAGCTGTAACTTTAAGAGTGGACACAGGTGCATTTAGGCACAAAGGTTAAGACAGAGGAGAAATGTACTGCAGATTTTTCTGAGTTACATAATATAAAACATGAATAATACAAAGAACTATTTTCTCAGCTTTGTAAGGTAGTAAGAATTGAGTGTCTCTTATACCTTTGTATTGGCTCTTTAGATTGTCTGGATAACTTTTTTTTGTGACAAAATGGAGGCTGCTTCTGAACTTTCAAAATGCAATACTCTTAATAGACATGAAACAGGAAGGTGTTTGTTTTTAACAAATGGCTGACTTGAGCAGTTTTTCCTCATCCAGCAAAACTTGGCTAAAGACCCAAAACTCAGTGTAGCTTTTATGGAAAACTGCTGTGCTGTGCATGGTGGATTAAGGCAATAAGGGCTGTATGGGATATCCTTATAAATTTGTCCATGTAACAGGCTAACACTTGGGCCTGCAGGGGAATTGTTTTCAGTTAAGGTTAGCTCCTCTGAGCAAGTTAATTAAGAACTGATAAACTTGCTTATAGAAATTTTCTGAACTCAGCTGCTTTGACTTGCCTTCTTGGGTTACTTGGAGTCAACTTTTAAAGATGCAGACTTCCACAGTACTTTGCTGTAGTCATCTTTATGTTTGCAAATTACTGTCTTTGGCACTTTATGTATTCAAGTAGTCTTTTAGCTTACAATTTTGCTGCATTGCATTGTTTCAGCAGTTGTAGATGTGTGTGCAGACATTTGAATGTTGCCCATTTTAAGAGCTATTGGAAATGATCATATGCTGGTATTGTGGCTTCCCTCCTTCAGAAGTGAGTCTTAAATCAGACTACCTAGAAAAGATTTAACCTTTACACAAGTCCATGAGTAGTATTGTGCAACAGATTTGATACTACTTATCAAATCCCAAGGAGCATTCCAGATCACTGTGAAGAGCTTGATTTACTGAAGCCAGGCTCCAGAGAGCCAGATAGAAAAGATATTATATGCAACAAACCTGAGTTTGGATTTCCCCCCACCTGAATCTATTTGCTGACATAGAAGTTTGGGTTTTTGTTTTGTTGGTTCCTTTTTTTTTTTTTTTTTGCTAAAGTAGTACTTCCTAAATTTGCATATTTGCTGTGTATATACATAGATACTCATGGCTGCTGTAATAACAGGAACCTCAACCAAAAAGGTACCCAAAAATCCACTTAAAAGCTTCCATTCTGTCCTCACCCTATTGTAGCTGCCTGTTGCAGGGGTCTGCTCTAGTTTGTGGTGTGCTGTATTGCTGCTGTTCTTGGGCATAGTGAGGTGAGTTAGGCAGTGGAAGCCAAATTTTGATGAAGGTGACAGAAGTAACAGTAGTCTAAAAGCTTAGACAGTTTGAGTCCTGTGCTACTTAATTGATGGAACACTGATAAGTTTCCCTTTTTATAGTTGGAACTAATCTCTTTTGGACTTATGGCAATATTTTGGTTAAGCATGCTTGAATTGCACTGACAGGCAAAATGATTTTTAATTCTAAAACTCACTTGATAAGAGTGGGAGATAAGAGTGAGGCTCTACTGGGAGTGAAGGTGAAGGATTTCAGAGATTTTGATAGCAGAGAATTGATGCTCTTGGGGAATGATGATTTTTGGTTTTGAGAACCTTCAGCCTAGTTGGGTGTGTTGGGGCTTTTTTGTTAATTTGCCTTTTTTGTTTTCTTTGTTGAGGAATAAATCTTTCATTGTATGTACAGGGAATAAAAAGATAGCTGTTTAGTGTTTTATTCTATAATTTTGAACTTGTGTAAATACAACAACAGTAAAGTTATTAGATACTTTATCTCAGTAAGTAAATGACATAATTCAGCTGTTTTGTGCTGAACAGAACACTTTGTAATGAAACACTTCAAAAAAGATGAAGAAAAACCTTTGAGCTTCAGTAATATCTAATTACCAAAACCAGAAGCTGTTAAAACAACTGGTTCTGGTTCCTTGTTTCAAGACTGCTGCTATTTCCTTCCACAGCCAGGTTATTTAATGTGGCTTTGCTATCTGTGAGTCAAACTTGCTGAGTTCTGTTTCACCAGTAAAGTGAGGATGACTTTTTGTGGGAGCACTCCGGTCCAACTGGGTTGTGAGCTGTAAAATTCAGCATTGGGATGTGTCTGCAGCAGCCCTAATAGCTGTGTCACCCCCTTTAGGAACTAAAAGTATCTTACAATGAAAATGGTGTGCTCCAGTATTGTCCTGCTTCCTTTTCATGTCTGCAAAACCTTGGCTGCTTGTCTTGAGCTTTAAGATGGAAGAGCTGTTGTTCCACAGAGTATTATTTTGAAATGAAATGTGCTGAAAAGACTTTCCTGGGACACAGCATGCCCCTTGTACTTTGTGTGAATTATGGATGCAGCCTCACCTCCTAGGGGAAGTTGCTGTTCAGAGCAAAAACATTAATTTATAACAATATGGCTAAATAATAATGAAACACTGCTCCTGCAGGTGCACATCTCTGTGTGAGGGCTTGCCTGCTTCCCTCTAGACTTGAAGGGAGACAAAATCATCTTTCATGGGTGGGGCTTTTTTTACTTTGGATTCAGTGTTCTTCCAGGGGCAACCAGGCATTCCTGGTCAGCTGAAAGCAGATGCAGAGCACACTTGTGCTTCTCTGCAAACAAATAAGTATAGACATACCAAGGAAGCCAAATATAAGTGTATGTGTACATTTTATCCTTCTCTACCATAAGAGTGGAAATGAGACTGTATGGTTGTTCAATGCTCCTTGATAGCCTTGAAGCACAGACTAGGAAGCCTCTTCTAATAAAAGAAAATGCACTGAGGGGGTACAGACACTGTGTGAAGCAGAATTTTTTTCAGCTTCAGAGAAGAGGTAGTTTGTTAGGTGTCTATCAGCCTGGCTGCAACCAAACTGTATTTGTAAACATTAATGGGAAGGAAGTAAGTTTTCTGCTTAAATTAATTGGGGGAATTGTTTGACTTTTGGTGGGTAAATTGTAATGTGTTTTTGTTTTTTGATTGGTTTTTTTGAGCCAGTTTATCTGCAGTGATAAATACAACTGAACATTCAAGGGCACCATCATTCCCTCAGTGTCACTGTGTCACATCAGAGTTGTGTTGCCCTCTTGCACTGGATGCTGTAAAAACTCAGCCTAAGACTAAACCCCTTCAGCATCTCTGCAGTTGAGGAAAATGTGTCTGTGGTTAGAGATTATCTTTTAGTACATCTGAACAATGAACTTGTACCTCCTGCAGTATTATTTCAAAATAAAGACATCTGCTGTAAAAGCCTACATTTATTTTATCTTAGCTCTGAAATTCTTATTTGAGAGCTTGTAGGCAAGATTTAAATCAAATAAAACTTGCCTCCAGTTCTCACCTAACTTAATAATTTGACTGTTAGCTTTTTTTTTTGGTGTGTAACTAGAATATTAAATATTGGCTGTAGAGGAATGTTTCAATCTTCTTCAGTAGTTTATCATGTAATATTTTGTTTGATAAACTCAGCATTTTACCAAATAGTTTAGATTTTGTGAGGGAGAAATGTTCAAGCTGAGAGCTCAATGGTATCTTGCTAGTTATGCTTAGATATTGGATGTAGTACCCTGCAAAGGTGAAGAATGACAAAGCAAAGGCAGAGAAACATCTAGTTTATTGCAAGGTCACATTCAGGAAAAGAAAGTTCTATGTAAGAATCATTTCCTAGCAAGATATAACTGAGTTAGATACCTACAAAAACCTCATGAGTAAAAACACTGCACCTATGGTTCAAAGAGACCTATGCTATAGTATTTTCTATAGAAAATACTATAGTAGAAAATTATATTCTAATAAACTGTTACACTCCTGATGAGATCAGTTTAATTCCAAGTTACGTGAAAGAATAACAAATTATCTAGGTGAAATAAGAACAGTTCTATGTTCTTATGGCTAGTTATGATGACTTAAGGTGAAATAAGAACAGTTCCATGTTCTTATGGTTAATTATGATGACTTAATGGTGTGAGCTTGTTGCCAGGTGAGACACTTCATTCTGTCCTTACTTGAGGCAGCTGTTAATCGAGGGGGTTTCTAAGTTGTTTGGCCTTGCACTTAAATAGGATTTTTGTTTGACTGGTTTTTTTTAATAGCTTAAAACTTAAAAAAATTTTAAAATCTTACAGCTTTCTTGTTAATGTGTGGCTTTATCCCTTTGTTTTGCCAGGAAACAGTTCCCCTGCTATACCCAGCAGATCCTAACGGAGCACTGTAACGAAGTGTGGTTCTGCAAATTCTCCAACGACGGCACGAAATTAGCAACAGGATCTAAGGACACAACTGTTATTATATGGCAGGTTGATCCAGTAAGTGTGAGAATGGAATGAACTTGTCTTGCCCTTTCCTTTCAGCTTTCTCCTGCTAGGATGGTGTGGTTTTTGTAGGGCAGGCTGACATGTACTGTAGCCCTGTTACATCCCATTCCCTGGGATGTAAGCCTTGTAAATCTCATAGCAATAGGATATTTCATACATCTTTCCTGCTCATATCTATTGGTACATAAATAAAGAGGTTGGTTGGTGAATCTAAGCCTGTTTTGACTTGTAGAAGTGATTATGTAAGTATGTCCATATATTTCATAATAATTGAAGACTGGGAATAAACTTGAACATACACACACAGCATTTGAAGTTGCTAATGCTTGTGGAACTCTCAGAAATAAGATCCTTTTGGTTTTTTAACCACACTCCTGCAAGCTGGTATGTGAGGTGGAAAATGAAAGGTTTCTGCAGTTCCATACTGGTGTTCAGTGGGGTTTGAATCTGAGTTTCTTTTCTTTCACTTCAGGTTAGGAACCCATATAATCTGAGTCCTTTTTCCTGTTAAAATGATGGGAGGACTTTAAAACTCTGTTCCATGTGCATAAATGTTATGTAGCCCCAGAACTAAAGCAGGCACCATGGCTTTTTCAGGCACGAGACTGCTGTGGTTTGTGTCTTACTCTGGGCCAAGAGCTGCATAGCAGCAAAGCTGACTTCTGTTATTTAGTTTGGAAGTTATCTGGAGTTTGTTTGTTGGTTTTGGTTTTGTTTTGGTTTGGTATTTTCTTGGAGTAATTTAGGTGAATTAAGGATCAAACATTTTTTGCTGTTAACTTGTTAATTGACTGTAGATGCACATCTTCCTTCTATATTGATGGGTTTTAATACCAAACATCTTGATTAGAACATCTTAAAGTGAATTGTTAGCTAATAGCTGCTTAGTAAAACCACATAAATGTTTTGTGAGAGTTTAGACCAAGCCTTTTGACCAAGAGTTGCCAAAGAATAAAAATCTTTGGAAAATAGTTGGTGGGAAAGTGGTTTTGTAGTGTTTTATTGGTTTGTCTCCTTTTTTGGGTGCTTTAAAAAAATTGCAATGCTTTCAAGCAGGTGGATACTTAAATAGCATTAGGCCACATCAAGTGATTCCTATTTGCCAGAACATGCTTCTCACATTTCCTGTAGCAGTTGACAAGGTCTTTTGACCCATAAATTTAATGTGATTTTCAAGGCTTTAGGTATACAGAATTATTCTAATCAGTTTGCATAAACTACATGGAAACAAACATCCAGCAATGTCTGGGCAAGTGGTGGGAGAGCCTTGTTTTAAATGAACAGTGTTTGAGTTTTCCACACATACTTAACATGTGTGAGAATCCTTCATTTCTCCCTTTCTTTCTTCATTGCCCCTCTTGAAGTGTAAGAACACTAATGTGTTTTCTTACTTTCATATCTTGAATTTTCTAATGTGTTTTCTTACTTTCATACCTGGAATTTCTTACTCTTTTCTAAGACCCAGCCACGTCTAGATTGTCTTAGCCTATGCTTCTGTTGTCGTTTCCATTGCTAATTTCACAGTTCTAAGGAGGCTCAGCAGCACTAAATAGTGTCTTGAGCTGACTGGGTTTGTGTGGGCTGCATTGTTTGACTGTCAGGAAGTTTGGCAGAACCTCTGTGGAGCACAAAGGATGAGCACACTGTGCATCACCTTGTCTCACATGCATCTTTGTTAAGAGTTCTCCTTTAACAGACTCCTTAAAAAAATCCCTTCTGCATTTTCTGAAACCTGTTGACAGCTTTTTGGTGTTTCAGCCAAGGAGCTCAGCTACTGCAGACTTGAGTTGATGCCTGAATAGTTGCTTGTCATACACAACCATTTCTTTTGGTGGTGGGTGGGAGGCAGGTTGACTACATTTGGAGATATTTGCCTGGAATACCACTGCCTGCTGTTTTAGAGCATGGTATAGCAGCTTTATGGTATTTGGGGGGAAGTATGAGAGCAGTATGGAAGATAGTAACAGCCCCAGAGTGCTATCATTAGAAGAGGAATATCTTATGTATCTTGTTCCTCATGAGTTTCAAATATGCTGAAGTGACAGACTACTTTAATCCTGTTATAAAAAAAAGTGTCTGCTCTAGACAAGCTCCAGGATGTGCGATGATGTCAGACATGACTCAATTTCCTTGAAAATCACTTTAGCTACAGACACAGCAGGGTCTAATGCAGTCCAGGAATAATGATTAGAATGGAAAAGGGGTCTTGAGGAGGTCCATTCATTTGCCCCTCTTTCCATGCACTCTGAAGATTATTTTTAGCTCACTTTCTTTTGAGGAATTTACTTTTTCTAGCCAGCAGAACCCCCAGTGCTGCAGGCTGGCTGAGAGTCACCAAATCCCTCAGAGCTGATCCCAGGAAACAATCCTGTGTGTCACTCTTCCTCTGGTCTTTCTCTTCAGAATCAAGTGCTCTGTTGATTAATACTGAAAAAAAAAAAAAGAGAGAAGGGACAATTAGAGAAATCAAGCTAGAATTTCAAATTAGTCACGCTTTTTGAAAAAAAATTGTGGAGATATAAGCATCTGCCATGCATGGAAAAAAACAGGGGAGGGTGGGTAGAGGGAGGACAACTTGATTGCCCTTTCCCAGAGGCTTCAAATAATTACTGTCAGCATTTTAACAAGCTCTGTTCTACTTGTGTATCTGCTGTTCCCAAGAATCAGTGCTAATACTGTACTGAAGCATGTTTCTGTATTTAGGAAGCCAGTGTGTGGTTGTTTCACAGTATCTAGCTGTACTATTTATTTTTACAAGCTTCTTGAAAAGTCAAGTTCCTCTGATGAGGCAGCAGTAAAACAGTTGTAATACAGAGATGATACAAGAGGCTGCATGTGCCAAGTGTGCTTCATTCACTAAATCTGGCAGAAAACAGCTTGCTGTAGGCAATGCTTCTGAAATAAGAACACCTCTCAAGGAAGATTTTAAAAATATCTTTCTGTAAATCTCCTTCCTTGAGCAGCACACACAAGATACATGCAAGTTTATAAAAATTCACTTCAAGGTTTTCCCTTGTCAGCAGCTGTGGAGGTTTTGGTTCTCTGTTTAACCAGAACAGGTTTCCAACATGTCTTTAGTTTTAAGAAAGTAACTTAATTCTGTAAAATACAGATGATAGTAATTTCATATTTCAGTAGATATAGAAAAACTTGACTCTACAGAAATCTTCTGTACTAAGGCAAGTGTAATGTCATGTAAAACTTTGTACTCAGTGGCATTTCTTGAGTTTTATGTTCAGACTCACAGAACGTTGGAACAAAAATACCTCTGAGTGTTCTTGTTTTGAAGGTTGACGTTAGGAGCTTTCATTTTCTGGCCCTGTAAACTCTCCAAGCTCTCATGCTGTAGATGGATGCTGTGGAAGTGTGAAATGTGGTGGGAGTTGATTTGCAGTGTCTCAAGAACACCTCTCCTGTTCCAGGACACTCACCAGCTAAAACTCCTTAAGACGTTAGAGGGTCACGCGTACGGCGTCTCCTACATTGCCTGGAGTCCGGATGACAACTACCTTGTTGCCTGTGGCCCAGATGATTGCTCTGAGCTTTGGCTCTGGAATGTACAAGTAAGTGCTGGCTAAGAGTGAAAAAAAACCAAACTTTGTGCTGCTTTTGTTTCAATATCTGAATCCCTTCTTGAAAGAAGGAATCGCTGTGGGCTTGTGCTGAGTGTAAAGAAGAGATGCTGATCTCCCTGCCCTCCTCTCAATTTGAAAAAATAATTATGGCAGCTTGCAAATGCTCTTTGCACTTTGGACAGAATTGAAATTGAAGTTCAAGTCTAAGTGTCTCGGATTGTGCAGCAATTCTTGTGTGGGTGGTTACTATCGTTTCTGAGAAGGGATGGCATAAATGGATAGGATGTCAGAGAGCTCCTGAAGAGAAGGACAGCAAATGAATCAAGAGAAGCAGAGGGCAGAAGTATCTCTGAAGGGAAGCAGTTGCTCATTGATGATTTTAACAAGTAGGAAAAGTAAAAGATGCAAACTGTTCTGCTTCATGTAACCCTCCCAGTGATGTCAGTGACAGAGGCTTCAGTTTATGATTTCAGAACTTCATTTTTCCATCAGGAACTTGGGCATTTTGCCATTCCCTCCATGAATTTGAAAATCACTTTCTGCTGTTGAATTTTATGGGCACTTGAGTTGATATAAAAGCTTCTCTTGCCTCAGCTGAGAGTTGTATGTACTTCCTTGTGTTGCCTTGGACTCTGAACTAATGTAGTTTCCTAAAACACAAACGTTGCTTTTCTTCACCCTTGGAACACTTTTCTTCTGTTTAATTGACTACATTGGCTCAGTGAGGAGCACTGCTGACAATGCCACTCATTGGTGTTCTGTCTTGTGAAACAGTGGCTTTATAGGCATGAAAGCTAAATTTTGGCATGGAGAGCTTCAGCTCAAGGAGGAAAACATTCTAACTACTGTGATATTCATAACTTCTTACTAAAATATATTTTGTCACTTGTTTTCTTCTAGTTTCTCTCTGCCTTCTTTCTTTCAGTGTTTTGGTGGGTTTTTTTCATTTGCTAGTGCTTGTCACTCTCTTGGCTTGTTCCTATGATTTCTTTTCATTCCACTCTAAATCTTTTAGCTGTCTGACACACCAACTATTCCATCTCTCCTGATTTGAGAGACAAAAGAAATTGTCCCAAATCAAGTCCAAATTCACTGGATATGCTAAAGTAGTTCTGCCTTTCCATTGCATTATTCATAAGTACGTCTTGCTTTTTAATAAATATATCCACCTCCAAGCTATTGTTGTCAGATAAAATTACCAGTGCCTTTTTGGGAAAGGGTTCTGGTGTAAGGCCCTGCTGCCTTTGTTTGTTTTCCAGACTGGGGAGCTGAGGACAAAGATGAGCCAGTCTCATGAGGACAGTTTAACAAGTGTGGCCTGGAATCCTGATGGGAAGCGCTTTGTAACGGGAGGGCAGCGTGGACAGTTCTACCAGTGTGTAAGTGCTCTGCAGCTCTCCCTTGGAAAGCAAAGCAAGGAATTAAAAGCTTGGTCAATGCTTTTTTGGGTTTTGTAGATGTGTACACTAAAGGTTCTGATCCTTTGCAATTCAAAGATTTATGCAGATATTTCAGCAGCACTTCTGTGTGGAGCAGTTTGAAGGGTTTGAGCGTCTTTGACCTGCCTCAAAGAGGATTTGTGGTCTGGAATTTTTTTTTCTTAGCTGCTTCAGAAAAAAACAGAAAAATTCAGAAAAATTAATAAAAAGCAGTACCTTTGCCCACAAGTCTTTTTATTCCACAGAATTTTGACTACATCTTTCTTAGTTTTTGCATGCAGTCTTTGCTTAGTGAAAATAGATGTGAAACCCTGATTACTTGGCGAGAGCTGGTTTGGGGTGGTGGTCCACAGTTTCACCACACTCTTGATTGTTTTTTTCAACTGGTTCCCATAATAATAATATAGCACTGTGAAGGTCAGCTCAGTGATGGGGTGCAGGTGGTGTGAGAAAGTAAGTGACAGAAGGGATTCTCTGCTCTCCAGGGTGGGTTCCTACAAAAGCACTTGCTTAAGAGAACCAACTCCTAATTCATTAGGTCCTACCTTATAAAAGGTAAAATTGCTTTCTGTAGCAAGTGTCTGACTAGAAAGGGAAAAACATTTTTATTTGTGTCACAGCTCCTCAAAAACCTGAGACTAATGGTTGAATGTTTGTTGTTTGGTTTTTTTTTCCTTCTGCTCAGGATTTAGATGGTAATCTCCTTGACTCCTGGGAAGGGGTGAGAGTACAATGCCTTTGGTGCTTGAGTGATGGGAAAACTGTTCTAGCGTCGGACACACACCAGCGAATTCGGGGCTACAACTTCGAGGATCTCACAGACAGGAACATGTAACTGCCTCTCTTCTTGGTTCTGAATTCCTCTTCCTAGTGGCATTGTGGGGGACAGGATGGGAAACAAGTTGTTAAATGTTCTCAGTATTAAAAGATGGGACAAGAATTAGTGAGCAAGTTTCAGCAAGCAGCATTTGATCAAATATTAGAAATAACTTCCTGAGCACTGGAGTAGGTTTCTGGTGGATGTTTTGGCATTTCTGTCATCACAAGAACTTGTAGTCCTCTCAATTCCTGACATATTTTGATAGATTCTGCCTTGAGTTTAGGAGTTGAGGTCTGGAGTCCTTTTTGGTCTTGGTATTTGGCCTAACTATAAACAAGTATTGCTTGTTTATAGTTAGGCCAAATAAGTCCTGGCTTATCTGGTTTCTAGAGTCATACCTTATTTCAGATTGGGAACTGTTTTTGCCTGATCATACTGTAGAGAGAGGACATGCCTGTTGTCTTGGTGTTGCATCATTATCTGCTTATCTTGACTCTTTTGTGTTATCATTTCAGAGTACAAGAGGATCACCCTATTATGTCGTTTACTATTTCAAAAAATGGCCGTTTAGCTTTGTTAAATGTAGCAACTCAGGTGAGTTGGGCATGTTGAAAGGAAATGGAAATAAATCTGCTTGCAACTGCTACCTGTTTTTAAATATTTTTGTGAGTTGGAATGTTTGATATTAACTAGTTGTATATTGTGTAATAGAAGGTTTTAATATTCATAAATACAGCATGGAATTAATTCTCTGACAAGAAGGCAATTTTGTTCTTGAGACCTGATTTTTTTTTTTTTTGTTTACTGATTTATAGTCAAGAGTTTCGTATTGGGAAATATGAATGTTATTATCTGGGTGTTGCATTGAGAAGCCAGGTACAGCAAGAACTGTGGCACTTTACATGTCTGTGGCACAGATTTTATTTATCTATTTCTGCTTTTGAAACCTTGGGTAAAAATAAAGCTTTCAGATTGGAAGGGACCTACAGTGAAACTTTAATTTAGTCATTTGATACATCTTTATTCTTTTCACCCACTAACAGTATCAAAGTTGGCTCTAAAGTAGTGCACTTCCATGGCTAATTCTTTTTCATTGTTCACAAGAATGCTATTAATAATACTTAATGATAAAATAACATTCTTTAAATTTCTTATTTGCAGGGAGTTCACTTATGGGACTTACAAGACAGAGTTTTAGTGAGAAAGTATCAAGGTGTTACACAAGGATTTTACACAATTCACTCGTGTTTTGGAGGTCATAATGAAGATTTCATTGCAAGTGGCAGTGAAGGTAACACCATTCTCCTTTGTGCAGAAAACTGGAACACTGTATCCTTCCTATTCCTTCATCTTCTAGATGACAGTTGCTAACAACAACATTATAAAAGCAAACCAAGTGGCTCATGAAATAAATTTGAGGCTTGCTGGGATTGTGGCATACTTCAAGAAGTAATTGTGGGCTGGCAGACAGAATCTTCTGAGAGGATGGCAGAGGTAGAACACATTAATGACTCTTTTGTGTTCCTCCTCTACAACAAAAGCATCTGCACAGTTTTAATTAGAAGTGGGTGGGGTGTTCTTGAGGATTTTTTTTTTTTGTGGTGTGATATTTAGACTTCTGGTTTGAATAAAATGTACTTCTGGGGAATAAGAGCTTCATTTGCCTGTTGAAGATACAGGTGTGGTGAGGTTATTTTAATTTCCATAGATTCATTTTAATTACAGACAGAGTAGTCTCAAATTAGGCAGTTGTTGACGTAGTCTGGTAGAGTTTCTTGGTGATTAAAGGCTTTGAAGTCTGTTTTTATTCAGCTGTCTGTGGCAAGAGTAGAAATTGTTAAAAGCTTATGTGATGAATTGGTTTGGTTTTGTCACTGGTGTGGTGCCATCACCTGCCATGGAGGTCACTTTGAATTCAAGCTTATGCAGGGCCAAGAATTACACTTGCAATATGTAAACAAATTACTGTGACTAATGTGTAACTCACAGTTCTTAGGAAACAAGGTTGGCCAAGGCATTTCCTACTCTGTTTTTGGAAAATATGAAATATATCTAAAATAAAATCAAGTTTCACTCTCTGACTATATCCAGTGGAATATGACTGAAGGACAGCACCTCCAGTCCTCCAATCCAGTGTGAACCTTTTTCCATGGCTGGACAGGCTTCTTTGTGTGAGACCCTAGTGCCTGAAAGTTCAGGATTTAGCCATAACCCTGTGCAGGTGTAGACACTGTAGTGTACCAGTCATTTTGGTGCCCCAGTTTATTGATTTTCATTGTTTAAAAACCACTGTAGTTGGAACTGGAGGTAAGGACCTGATGGGTTCTTAGGTTTGAACTGTCTGAAGCTGTCACCTTTGTGCAAGTGTGGCTACTGAGACTATTTTTAAAAGACAAGCAAACACAAGCCCATGTGAAGGTGGTACCTCAAGTGAGCAGGTTCAGCACAGGACAAGGGAGCTACCATGTAGGAAAAAGCTTTGAGGCTTTTCTAGCAGGAAGGTCAGAGAGCAAGTTTGTTTTATAAGGGGCTGGGAGGAGGAACAGAGGAAGATTGGTTTGTTTGCTGAGCCTTCAATGGCATCTATGTGAAAGCCTTTCAGATAGATCAAAATAATTTCATTTGGTTGCTAGACCCCAATACTAGGCTTTTGTGTAATTCTAGCAATACACACTTGTACAGCAACTCTGTTTGGAATATTCCACAGACAGTCCTAGACAGGTAAACCCACAGACTTGTTAAAGGCTGCAGGTCTACAGCTGGGAAAACCCTTCTCCTTCTCCCTACCCTCAATTTATTCTTAAATATGGTTGGTTATAAAGAATGACTCTTCTCTAAACAGTGCAGTAGAGTGTCTAACCAGTCCCCTGTTCTATTTCTACCATGTTGCTGGAAGTAATTAAAAGCTTCCCATCACAAAATAGGATGTGCAGGGTTTGTTTGCATCTGCTTCAATATGTACAAATTGATATTTTTAAATACCACACAGTGATTGGTTGTCAAAGATAGTAATAGCTCACAGTTTGAGCCATTAAGCTTTAGTGCTCCCTCATCTGCTCTGTTTGCACTTTCTTTGGAGTGTTACAGGTTTTTAGTATTAAGATGTGTTTCATAAACTATAGAGCTGTGATCTTATCTGGTACTCATCAACAGGAGGTGGTTATAAATATTCTTAGTACTCATGACTTTATAATGCATTTACTAATTTGCAAATACAATTAATTGAGGGGGAGAACAAAAAAATCTGCAAGTCTTCCTTTTGAATAAGATTTTAATTACAGGTATGGAGTTGTAGAGTAGTTTAGTTTGTCTTTTTACCCTTGTATTGACTTATTTGCATAAGTCAGTACCCTTGTATTGACTTATTTACATTCCAACATTTTCCTTCAGAGTGTAGTAGAGTTGCAGGTGTTAATGGAAGAGTTTTGCCTGTGTGTGATGGTGTTCACAGGGGTCCCAGGATGAGGGAAGAGATGAGGCTCTGACTCTGTTTCAGAAGGCTGATTTATTATTTTATGATATATATTATATTAAAACTATGCTAAAAGAATAGACAAAAGGATTTCATCAGAAGGCTTGAAAGGAAAGGAAGGAATGATAATAAAATCTTGTGACTGACCAGAGTCTGAAACAGCCGGACTGTGATTGGCCATTAATTAGAAACAACCACATGAGACCAATTACAGATTTATCTGCTGCTGTGGAATGCAACAAGTAGTTATTGTTTACATTTTGTTTCTGAGGCCTCTCAGCTTCTCAGGATAAAAAAATCTTAAGGAAAGGATTTTTCATCAAACATGTCTTTGACACCCACGTTCTTTTGATCGCTTTTAAAAGCAAAATTTTGTTAGTGCTGTTCCCCACCAGAGACTGGAGTTTCAATGGGAGGTGTGAGGGTGCTGCTGGGTGTGTGCAGAGCAGTGCTGCTCAGGCTGCTCCCTGTCCCTGTGTTTGGCCCAGATCACAAGGTGTACATCTGGCACAAGCGCAGCGAGCTGCCCATCGCCGAGCTGACGGGGCACACGCGCACGGTGAACTGCGTCAGCTGGAACCCCCAGCTCCCGGCCATGATGGCCAGCGCCTCCGACGACGGCACCGTCAGGATATGGGGACCAGCGCCTTTCGTAGACAACCAGGATATTGAAGGTAAAAAAAACAAAGAAAAAAAGCCTGGCTGAAAAATTAGTCACTGCTTCGTTTGGTTTTTTCTAGTGTGTGACTGGTGGTTTTTATCTGAGTTACTCGTTTTGTGTACGGCCGGTGTTTCCAACATTGTTCTGACATGGCCCTGTAGAAAACTCAGAAAACATGGCCCTGTGGTGTCACTAAGAGCCTAGAATTATGTTAACTTATTTATGCAGATTATATTAACTTATTTGTCCATAAAAACCTTGCTTTCAATGCTTAGGTTTAGTGATGTACAATGTTATTAAAATTTAAACAGTGCATTCTAACCACACTGCAAATTGAGTAATGGTATTGGGATGGTTACAAAAGGAATTCACAACAGAATTTAGACAGAGTGTAAAGTTTTACCCTAGAGAACCTGTATGAAATTGTATCTTTACTAACCATCAGTAACCACATGTGGCCAGGGGAAAGAGAGAGAGAGAATGCTCATTTTTTTGCTGCCAAAATGCACCCAGGTGTTCCCAGCCCTTCTTGCCTTCCCCATTGTTAAGGAGGCAACTGCTGGGGAGTTGTTGTGCACTTTATGTGCTTCTGTCATTACGCATTCAGCCTTGCAGTAAGAATTTACAGGAGACATTAAAAGGATATATAGTATATCCTATTGCCACAGAACCTCATGGATGTGACACCAAGGGGAGCCTGTGCTGGTAGATAAGTAAACACCTCTAGTTCAGAATGTCCCTTAGGTAAAAATGGCTGAAAGTTGGAAGGATGTTAGGAGGAAGAATTACCTCTTCTCCCTGCTCCACTGCTTTGATACAGTGAGCTGCTTGCTCACTCTTTCTTAGTTCCTCCAGAAAACGAACCATCAAAATCAGCCACAAATGGATTTCTCACAGCAGGGCTTTCACAAGAGGTGTAGGTGCACAGAATAATACCTGACCACTGTAGGAATCCTAAATGGGTGACAAGACAGCTCTGTCCTTAGCACAGTCCCCATGAACTTGTATGTGAATGTGTGTTATGTCTTTTTGGACCAGATGCTTTTTGAGTACCCACACCTAACATGCTAAAATAATTTGTAGATTGTTGTGAATAATTTTATCTAAAACAAGTGATTTTAAGCATGGAATTGAGCTGCAGTATAAGATCCATTAACTAGTGCATGTTCAGCTAAAATTTATGTAAATAGACATGTTAATTTATGTAAATAAATTATTAATTACCTTATGATAGAAATATGAACTGTTGCTAAGATCTTCAAGCTGTGATTTCTTTCTCTCTCTCTGTGTTTTTGTTTTTGCTCAGAGGAATGCAGTAGCATGGATAGTTGATGGCGAATTTGGAGCAGACGACTTCAGTTTAACTTAATTAGTCGTATTTTAAATGGCTTGGGATTTGGTGCAAACAAACATGATTGATAGCTGGACAGACATGCTCGTCATGAAAAAAAGAACCATTTCTGAAGCCCAGTTGGGGCCAAACATTTACCACCTTTGCTTCATAGTAACCAGTCGAGATGAAGCACGTCTTTAGAACTTTGTTGGACACCGTGTTGAAATTACCCCCCCATCGGTTGTGAAGAACTGTGCTACATTCAGGCTAACCATTGAACTCAGTATATATATTTTTCCCTCCTGCCTTTTTGTCTGGCAGGCTACTGTTCTTGTTGCTCTTCTGTGTAATGAAGTTTAAATGCTTGTTTGGAACACTTTATTTAACAGTTTAGAAGGCTTGATAGAAAGAGTGCTTTAGTCTGAAGAGTATACATTGGATAGGAAAGTATTTCCTTCTCTTGTTTCTCAAGTCTCTCTCCGCCTTACTTAGCTTGAGATCTTTGCAGCTTGGTTCATGGATTCTAGCCTTGCCCGTTGCGCAGTATATCTATCAATTGAGAGGATAAACCAATGAACTATGTCAAAAGCACTCTCAGTATCACATTTGACAAAAAGTTTTGTACTTTTCACATAGCTCGTTGCCCTGCAAAGGGGTTAACAGCACAATTTTTTAAAAATAAATTATTTATAGGATTAAAATGACTTCATTTGTATACATTTGGAATTAAAACAATGCAAGAAGTGTCGTGAAACACGGTATCACTGATGCTTTTCTGGAGTGGCCTGAGACCCAATCAGAAGCAGTGGCTGGAAGGAGATTTGTGTAGGCAGTAAAGCTTGTTTCAGATGGAGGAATTCACTGTCCATCTTACCAGTTAAGCTGTATTAGCTAGGAGAAAAAAGCATTCAGACTGCACCACCAGTCTAAGAGCTGAAACAAGAAGAGGTCTTTTGGTGTTTTTAATTACAGAAATATATGCAACAATGCTGGTGTAAAAGGTAGACTACACTTTGAGGGAAGAATGTGTTGAAAGAGTCCTTTCTTCACAAAGTCAACACTTTGTATGAGTAATTTACGTACAAATCATAATTAAACACTTGTATTATGATGGAAATTTTTTCTTTATTTGATAAACAGGGGTGGACAGATTTTGTTGTTGAGAATATGCTTTTAAGTTTGCAGATTGAAATGCCTCTCCCAGACCTTGTTGCAAGCTGGTGCTGTGAACATCTTGACACATCTAGGAGTAGTTCCACTAATGTCCCATATTAAGAGAAAGCAAACATTTATAGTTTAAATATTTATTCTTTTTGACATAAACAGATGGCCTGGCATCTCTGTGCTTCTGCACTACACACAAATCCATTATGGGATGGCACTGGATTCCCTTTTGCCACCTTGGGTGGAAAGGTAGTGTTGGTACTGCTGCAAAGTAAAGGAGGAGCAGGGAAGGGCATGCCACCAGTCCTGTGAGCAGAAGTGTGGACTTCACCCTTTCCTGAGATAATGATTTAGTGTCCTTATTAGTCATGTGTGGAAGAAGGGTGGGGGAAGGTTTGCTGGGATTCCTGGGAAGAGAGGTGTAGCCACTCTGAGTGGGAGTGTGGTGTTTCCCAGAAAAACAAAGGTTAGCAGGCTAGACTTTTTTTTCCTTATAGATTCCAGCCATCCAGTGGTGTGTTTGTCTTGCCTTGTGTGCAAACTTAAGCATGAGTTAAGATTCTGATACTGTGGTTGAAACCAGCCCCAACTCTGACATTTGAGTCTTGTAATACCTCCAAAACCAGGTAGGAACTTAAATGTTCAGCCTTAAAACTAAGGTGAATGCTTTGATAGCAATTACTGTTTCACAGCACTGAAAATACATGTGTAAACTTAAGATTATACATCAGTTCCTTCTTCCTTTAATCAGTTCTGGAGGAAGCTCTTTATTTCCCTTCCTAGTTCAAAAAGTGCAAGATGAGTCAGGCCTGTGGCCTTAATGTTGCAGGAAAACAGACAAGTTCCCATGGTCAAATTTGAGTAAGCTAAACCTTGGGGTTTAAGGAAAAATTAATTACTTAAATTGTAAACAGTAAATTGTAAAATGTTTTACATGTTCAAAACATGGTACAATTCATAAGCAATGCCAGCATGTGAATCTTTGGAAGTTACTCTAGTATTGTCTTACTCTGGAACTTAGGTTTTCAAACCAAACATTGTATAGGGAGAGTAAGGAGAAGAATGATTTTGATGTCTGTTAATATCTCCTGCAGTGGTCTGTCACTACATACTCATGGAAATAAAGTGGGAACTTGAGGCAGGTGGTGAAGGCTGGATCAAATCTCAAGTGTAGATTTCAAGTTTTATTTGCACTTCAGGCATTCCCAGTGTGGTGGCCATAACTGACCAGGGTGAGATCCTTTCCCTGCTGCAGCTGGGGGAAGGTGTGGGCTGATGCCTGCTTTCCACAGCAGTGCAGTTAGGAATTCAAATGTAGGACTCTGCAAAAACACTGCCCCTCTCTTCTGGCCTCGGACTGTCCCTCTGAGGTGTTTAGAAGCTGAGTTAGGGAGCAACACGTGTGGGACCTCTCTCCCTTGGTGTCCTGGTGCAGCCATGGCATGGAGAGCTCCAAGCAGGTGGCACTGCTTCCAGTGTCTCAGTGCCAGCCTGCTGGCAGGCAGGACAGAAAGGGGAGATGCATCTTCATTTTGCCACACTACTCAGTCCCACAGCAGCTGCCATTAGAGATGTAGCAATGAGTACCATCCCAACCTGGAGATGAAAGACCAACCTAAATTATTTCCAACACTATGTGGATTGAAAAGTACCAATACTTTTTGTGCACAGACAATAAAATGAGACTGGGGTGGGGTGGTGGGGGGGAAAGCCCAAATTAGTTTGCTCATTTGCAACACTTTGATTTCCATGTGCTTAAAAATGTTCATAGGTTGGAGTGTAAGGCTGGAACAAGTACACACCCCCAATGAATGACTGTATTTCCAGTCAGCAGGCCCATGGTTTTAGAGAAGAAAATACTGTAAGTGTGTACTCATTTTGTAACTTTCTCTGGTCACCTGTTGACTTCAAATATTCACAGTAGCCCCACGTTATTATCAAGGCAGATCTCAAAAAGAAATGCTGAAGCATTTTATTATCTGAATGTTCTGTAGCTGTTCAGGTAAGTAATTTTCAAGGCACAATGGAACACAAAAGGGAAAATGGTAGCTCTGTTCATGTTTTGGAGGGGAGGGAAGTGGGGGAAATGACACCTTTGTTTTTAAATTCCCTCTGTCTTTTCTGAAGTTCTCCAACTTTAAAGTTAACTTCTCTTTATGATTGGAGCAAAGATGCAAGCTAGAAATCTGCCCAGATCTTGCCAGTTACTTCTCAACTTGGCTTCAACCAGGTAATGTTGAATAAAACTGTGTGCTGTTGGGAGTTGGTGTCTAGTTGTGTATTTTTACACTGCTAAGTGATACTCCCAGCCAAAATCAGTCCTGGAAGTTTCCTTAGCAGGAAGCCAGGACTTGTACAATTAGCTGTAGCTCGAGGGGATATGTTGTAGATCCAAATGGGGAGGGAGGTAGAGAAAAAAGAATGGGCATAAAAAGCAGGATTTACTGACCAACAAATAAACTACTGTAACTCAAGGGGGAGGAGGAAAAATGCACTTTCAATAGTTTGTCCATATTTTTAGCTACAAAATTCACTTGTATCTAATTTCTTTTTGAGACGACTATTAAGAGGAACACCCATCCCATAAATGGCTAATCCTCCTTTTGCCCTCCTCCTGTCTTTTCCACATTGGCTTGAGTCCATTTTCAGCTGCCATACTTGATTTTTGAAAACTGCTACTTTTTAACGATGTCTAGAAAGCAAAATCATTAACTATGACACTTTTTTTAAACAGGGTGGACTTAATTGAAGTGTGCAGTGTTGAACTACTGCTGCAGTAGCTGCCTCTAGTTGAAATAAACTGTAGCCAAGTTTTCTGTCTATTCATCCAGATAATCTGGATTCAGTCAAACATCTGTGAGAGTGTTCCTCCATCTGGTGTGAGTGTGTGTGTGCATGTGTTCCACAAACAGACAGAGAACCAAATGTTCTAGGTACTTGTCATGTTTTATTGCATACTTTAAGTCGTGTGTATGTGAAGTGTCCTTTGACCAGAAGGTTTCGGTTAATATCAGTATATTTTTATAAATTTGAAATTCATTGTGCCCCATCTTTTTTTCATAAAACATTTTGCATTCTTAGGGTATATGTGCTAGATTTGAAACTTAACATTTTTAGGCACAGATGGAAAAAGTTATTGGCTCCTTGAAAACATATGGGACAAAATGGATCCTCAAAGCATGTATGTACTTACAAACCAAGCTGTAGAGATCAAGAAAAGAACTTTATTGTTGATCTCAAGATTTCTAAATTGTCAAGATTTATATGGAGTTGTGGTGGAACTAGTTAACACTTAGAGCTTTTGGTATGTAATGACTATTTGCTATGGACTGATATTAAATGTTTCAAAGGATTGCGTTCTTAAACTTTCTGGATTTTTGTTACTCTCAGATATTATTAAGTAGTTAAAAATTTCTTTGCTATATTACATTAAAAACATAAGAACTTTGGGTCTCGTATTTATTTTCACTTGTTTTACTAATTATTTACAGAACACCGTTTTAACTTTTTTATTTTATAAATGTGTAGTATTTTAAACATATCTTTAAAAATTGTTCAATTGGAACTACATTAACTTCTGATTTGTTTTTATTAGGGTTTTTAAAAAAAAAAATACACTTTTTCCATGTCGGTGCACAGCACTTAACAGAAATGTTTGTATTCCCTTTCTTTCAATTCAATAAACAATAAATAACTGGAATGAATAGTTGTTAGTTTCCCTAACTTCACTTATATGACTGACTTGGATGTTAATTTCCTGATCAATAATTGTAGCTTTCTTCCATATTATTTCACTTCCTCGCTAGGAAAATTAATTTGTGGCAGTGTAGCTGCAGCTGAGTCACTAGTGCTGTCCAGGCTCTGCTGTGTGCCTCTAATGCCCCTCACCCTTGTGTTTGTGCTGCACTTTGGCACTCGACTGCCCCTGTCCCAGGCTGTGCTTTTCTCACTGAGGCTCTGTGAAATCCATCACTCCTTAACGCTGCAGCCTGCTTCAGTACCTCACTGTGGTTGTTGTAGGTGAGCTCTGAGTTTTATGGGGTTTTTGGTACTTCATGGTAACAAGGTGCTCCTTAAGTACTTGGATCTCCTGCCTCTCTGTTCCCTCCAACTTGTCTCTTCTCCCTGTGCCTTAAACCAGAACATCATCTTTGTCCTGCACTTTTATTCAGCTCTAGCTTATGTTAAGAAGTTGTGCCTAATTTTGACTCCCTGTAGCTTTTCCAAACTCAAACCTTTTGCTGATGTGCATTCAATTTTTGAATTCTTTTAACTTACTTATTGATTAGTAGTCTTCCCTCCCTCTGGTAGCACCTTTGTATTGACTTTGTTCTCTCCCTTACAGTGTAGGCAGCACACAGGTAATTATGGCTTAAATGCAGCTGCCGAGAGCAGGGATGTGCTTCATTCCTCTGCATGTCCTCCTTTGTGCTGCTTCCCTTGGCTGCTGGCATTTGCAGGAGGGTTCTTGGTTGCAGACCCACTTCAGCCATAAATTATTCACAGAGCAGATGAAGGGAGTTACTGACAAACCCAGCTAAAAAATCTGTGCTTCATCTGCTCTCCTGTCTGCTTTTAACGAGTCAGAAGAGTGCAAAAAACAGGTATATGAGTTCTATGGGCCTGGGACTTTACAGCATTTGTAACATTGAAGTCCTGTGAGTTTGGGATTTGATATTTTTGGGTGTTATTTTAAAATCTGTTTTGGTTTTTTAATGTGTCTTTTGGGTTTTTGTTTGCTCTTTAAAATCATTCAGATTATTTCAAAGAAATTCCACAATGAACCTGAGAGTAGATGTGCATTTCTTAATCAGCTTAAATCCAAACTCTGCCTGAGAAGAGCCCTTCCTTACACCTTGTGTCTGCTCCCTGTGTGCCTCACCTGTGCCAGGGCTGTCACCTCATCCCAGAAGGGTGGCAGTGCCAGTTGTCTCCTCACTTTTAAAGCACTGTAATGCTCTGGAGGGTTTGTATGCCTGTTCCTGCCAGAGCTGTGGTGGTGAATGCACTGATAACTGGTTCATAATACCCAGCCCAGACTGTCCTGCTGCTGCCTCCACAGTCCATCACACCCTTTACTTAAAGGCATCAATGGTCTTTTGGCACTGGTGCAACAAAATCCTAGAGAGCTTCTTGTGAGAAGAAAGAATTAGAGTAAAGCTCTGACATTCCTGAACTGATAAAGATTTGCCTTCTTGGGCTTATCAGGGTTTCTGGTTGATTGTTAACCTGCATGTGGAATTGTTCTTAGGACTGCTGCTCAGACCACTGATTTACTACTGGAACCACTGACTTACCATGTCCTGTAATACAGATCCATTTCAGAAAATCAAACCAGTCATTTACTAGATTGAGGAGGCAAGTGTATTTAAAAAACAGGTTAATAACCAACAGTCTGTAACTAATGATTAAAAACATGCAATTCTACACATTTTAACTAACCCCCAAATGCAGAATTCTTCACTGTGTTCTGTAATCTCTCTGAAAAGTGATGCAAGGTGATCATCTTTGCAAGCTGGCTGGGCTGTAGATTGTGGGTGAGGAAAAGGGCTCATGGTGATGTTACATCAGTTAAAAGTTGGAATCCCTGCAGGACTGATTTATTTTCACTGATCAGGAGTTTTCTGTCAATCATAGCTAATGGTGCCTCACCAAGTTATACCTGAGTACCTTGAGTCCAAAGGGAAAGAGTCTGAGTGAATAGGAAGGAATCTGTATTTGACCTCACACCAATTTATAGTGATAGTCAGATAATTTTTTTTTTTTAATCAATGTCAAGTTTCTTATTGTCTTGAACACTGTATGGTAAGCTTGGGTTTAAATTACCCTGTTCTCTGCTGAAAAACAGGGAGTTGTGGTTCTTTTTCTTACCACCATCAAAATTTCTGTGCTCTGGGGGTCTCCCAGGAGTGACATAATTGCAGTATCCCCATTTCTAGCTAATTAATAATGTTTTCAGCTATTACAAATGCATTTTTTCTGAAGATCTCTTTTGAAGCAGGCACTGACCCTGTACAGTAAGAAGGCTTCAACATTACCAGTGTAATTATTCAGCAGAATTGCAGTCTCTGAAACCTGCTGCTGAGGTTTTTACAAGTCTTATAATCAGCTCTTGGATATAAATGAACACAGAACTTATTCATCACATTTTTAGAATAAGATACCAAGCTGCTGAACTGAGTAATGGACTTACAATTAAATGAGGGTAATGCTCATGTTCCTCAGTGTGAAACAAGTTTAGTGAACTGCATCTGTTGTCAGCAGCACAGCAAGGACTGACTTAGGCCCTTTCTTCCAACACCCAAAATATGTGTAGTAGGTTTTTTCACACACAAATAAAGTAATTGAATTGCATACCGTAATCTGCTAAAAAACTTATTGACTTTCTACTCTTCTGAAGTTTTATTTGCTCTCCTTTCTCCAGACCTACCTCCTGTCAGAGTTTTGGCTTTACAGGGCAGTACTTTCTGTAGTTTGATGTTGTGCTGTCAGGTAGTCAGTGTCATCCAGCTGGGGCAGCTGTTTCCTTAGTTATTTTTTTAATGAGCATAATTTTCATCATTCATCTTTAACACAGCTTAACTTGGACTCCATCCATCAAAAATTTAAAGCCAAACTTCTCCTAGAACAAACACTGAACAAGAGGTTATCTCCAGCAATAAAGCATCAGTGATGCCTTTTCATGGCTAGCCCTGAAAACAACTTGACTTCAGCTGTACACTGAAACCCCAAGTAGTTAAAAAAGCTCATAAATTTCCAGATGTAATTACAGAAGTGTATTTTTAAAGAGTTTTAATTGTTGTGTTTGTTCCAAGAGACCTGTTTGCAAGCACATAAAAAACTTGAAGACAGTGAGGGTACAAACTCAGGTTCATCCACTTGTCACTGATGCAAAGAGAACTTGCTGGTATCACTGAAGCAGAGTCACATCAGAACTGGAGTGAGTGAGTGGGGTTATGGGTTACCAGACCATTTCCCTGAGCTACACAGACTCTTGTTTCACCCCACTGACTGTGCAAACAGCAGCTTCAGGGAGTAGCAACTGCAGATTGTCTTTTGCTCTGTAACCAACTCCACCCCAGTGCAATATGATCTTTACTTTATCTGGATGTCCATGATGCACTCCAATGACAAAATAGGAGTTGAAGGGAAAAAGCAAGTATTAATCATGTTTATCTGCACTCTTACACACAAATGTCATATCCACCAAAGGGATCTTAATCCATCCAAATGCAAGACTTCATACAGATTGCTGCAGCAGAGTGGGGAAAGGGAGGAAAATATCACTTTTATTCCATTGATTTTTGTCTGGAAAGAATACCAACACAAAGATGCAAGCTGTGCTCCTGTTCCACTTTGAAATCTGTTCCAAGTGCTCCTTCAAATTAGGCTCTGATAGGACAGCTTGGCAGGCAAAGTCTCATCCTGACAGCTCTCAGCAAGAATCAGACATCATTGCTGCACTTGAATGTGCTCTGGAACAACCATCATTACGAGTTTCCCTTATCACCATTCAATTCCTATGAGGTCGCTTCTGTAAGCAAGGATTTCATCTTACAGAAGCAGCAGCTCCACAAGTTTGGCTTGTAAAGGAACAAAAACAACTGCTACACAGATCCAATGCCTTTTGAAAATATTTTATGTTAAAAATACAGAAAAATATTTCTTGTTCAAAGAGGAAAAATATACTGCATGACGACACTGATCTAGGTGTGTTCGGGAGGTGTCTGTGGCTCCACCACCAGTCCCTGGAGTGATGACCCCATTTGGCAGCTAATGGTTCTTTCAACTTCTCAATCATTTATCAAAGCCAGAATCATACTGTGACAAAACAGAAAACATGACACCAGTGGATTACTGAAGCTTGTGCAAGCAGGAGCAGCTCTCAGTGTCACTGAGAGAACCTGAAATAGAAAGTCAGGGCAGCCCTGCTGTGTGCTGTGCTCATGGAGACAAGGCTGCAGAACCAATGCTGCTCTGCCACCTTGGAGTAAGCAGCCTTACCACACAACACATCTGTCTGCAGCTCAGCCAGATCAACTTCATTTTTTAAAAACAGAACTGGTAAAATAAACTTGGTGCTCAGGAGTATTTCCTTTCTGAACAGGCCACTTACTGTAGGTGCTGAAAGCACGAAGCTCTGTATGTGGTACTTGTGGTTTTGATTTTAAGGAATAGCCAGAGTTTCCAAACAGTGTTTGATCAGAATGAAAAAAGGCACATAGTGAGCCCAGAGATAGCTGTCAAAATGTATTAGCAAGGCTTAGCAGCATGCAAAAACCTAAGACATGAATACCAGCAATTACACCAGTGGAACAGAGGAGATAAAAATAGCTGGCAGACAATCCCTTTGTTGCTTGGGAGCAATTTTTGAAACTAACCTGTAAAGGTACATGAAGAAACAGAGCAGATGAAAGCCCAGCTTAATCATGGCTTCTTTCATGTGTGATTTCAGCTGTCCTCGGTTATGGATCTCTGTGGGATCAAACACTCCCATGTTTCCACTTGGCACCATAATGTACCTGAAAGTTAAAGAATAAAAAAAAACCAAAACAAAAACCAAACAAAAACAAACAAAAAAATTAGGAAAAAAAAGCCCACAACAAAAGCCAAAAAATGTTAGGGAGTGTCAGGGCAAGAGGCAGAAAGCTTGCCAAGAAAGGACTTTCATCTGAAGAGCTGTTTCACAATTCAAGGTAAGGGAGTTCTGGATATTGCAGCTATCTCTGCCAGTACAACCCACAAATAACAAGAGAACAAGAAGTACTAAAAACATCAGCCCAGCTTCCCAAGTATAAGTGAGAGATTCCAGGTGACAGCCAATTCCAGCTCATTTTAATTGCTGTTCACAGTTAGTTGTTGGCATGGGGAAAACGCCCACCCACACTGGAAAGATGCATTAAATGAAGGGACTGGAAAAGAATCCAATTTAACTAAGAATCAGTCATTTATTTAGCAAAAAACCCCACAGAGAAAATGACAAACTCCAGTGGTCACACTGAGATGGCAAAAGCCAAGGCCCTGTGCTGTGGCTGCTGCCTCTGTCACAGCCAGGCTGGGACACCCCAGCACAGCCAGAGGCTGGCAGGGTGAGCTGGGCAGAGCTGAACATGTCGAGTTCTGCTCTCTGAGCCCACATGAGAGCAAAAGCTGAGTGAAGCCAAGGGGAATGGAAGCCAAGGAAGCATGAAACCAAATGTTTGTGTCCTGTGACAAGTGAGCCAGCAGCATGTGCTCCTGTCACTAGAATTTCTCAAGGGAGCACATGAATTCTCACTCCAGCTGAGCTCAGGCTACAACTTCACTTCACTCAGATGTTGTACAGGCTGCACCTTCCTGGAATCAGATTGTTTCCATGCAGGAATTTAACTCTCTAACCAGTTTTAGAAGGGAAAGCAAGAAGTGCCTACTTTAAAAATGAATAGAAGTACACAGTATGAAGCAGCAAGGTGGTAACCAGCACAAGAAATTTTGACAGCTTCAAAGAAACTGCATTCTGTCTGTGGCATCTCAGCCTTTTCTAAATGAAACATCAAACCCTAAACCTGCCAGCAGATCCCAAACCAAGTATTGGTCAGAGCTGTACACAGAGAGGGGCAAACAAAACCAGGCAGAACCATGCCCTGTGTGTGTGTTTAGGCAACATTTATTTATTAAGCATAAAGTTATATTGTCTCATGTTTCTCCAGCTTAGAAACATTTGGAGGCTTTGCTGGCAGTTCTGCAGGAAACAAGGGTGCTATTTATCAAACTTTAAATAGCACAGCTATTTAATATCTCACATTTGTCCAACCAGGTTATCAGTACAGAGATCCTCAACTTTGTTTTAATGAGAGCTGTGAAACTTTTTGTTTGATTCTACCAGCAACTCAACCCATCCCTGCAGAGTTAGCCCTGGCAGGTTCAGGCAAACCAGAGTTACAGCCAGCTTTCCATACCTGCACATTTAACATGGGGCTCTTCCCTCAGAACAGTGACTGCAGATAATTTGTGACAAATCCACATCCAGTTTCCATCAGCTAAACCCCTGTGAAGGGTCAGTTCTGCACACACCAAATTATGTGAAAAGAGATTTTTCAGAGAAAAGGAACATGGTCTGAAGTGACAGTCCCAGTGCTGCCACATGGAAACCCCCCTGGTAACTAAACCATTTCCAAGGTGGCAGACCAGTGGACAAAGAGCAGGAACACTGACAGCTGTGCTAGGGTGAAAAGGCTGCAAACATTCTCACATGGAAGGTTCCTCCCATTCCAAACCTGCCAAATGCAAACCTGCAGGATGGGGGCCAAAAGCAGTGCAGGTGAGGGGAAGGCACAAGTCAGTAAATGAAGGAGGGTGCAGGGGACAACACCACACAACATGGCTTTACAACAGATCAGGAATGGCATGAAAACATTATTAACTCTGGTTTCAGTACTATTTCATAATCCCAATTAATCTGCTATCATTTCCTGTCAGTTTGGGAATGACCCAAAATGGAGATTTCTGGGCACTAAAGAGAATGCAAGCAAAGGCCAAAAGTTTCATGTCCTTGAGCCTGTTGGGTTTCTTGTCACAAGAAATTATTTCAGTTTGATCAGTGAAGACTGCTAGCAACTGAAACATCTCAGCATGGCATGTTATTCATCTTTGTGCTACACTTAAAGCTCAGCTAGTAACAAAGACACCCCAGAAACCATTCAGCACTCACCTGTATATATTCCACGTGGCCACTGGCAGGTTGAGGAGAAAGATGAACCAGTGCAATGAAATGAGCATTAACACAGTGACAACAGCATGGCCAATCACCTCAGGCACCACCCACTGCAAAAAAAGGGGAGAGAGGAAAGAGTTACAGCACAACTGTAAATTCCTTGATGAAAAAGATCCCCAAAATCTATTTGGGTACAGTCTGATTATGAAATCTGAACAGCTGGCAGCAGAGGCATGTGGTTCTATCACAGTGTGGACAAATGAAAACCTTCAGGCAGGTTCCACACAAGTGAGCAGAAATCAAGCCCTGAGATATTGTAACAGAGCTTTTTCCAAGCATCACCAACATTTCTGGAGAGCAGCACAGTCTGAACACAGCTATTCTACACAAGGATTCAACTGAGAAAGCAGAAAGAGCTCATGTGAAATCACTGCAGAGAGGAGTGGGTTTGGGGATTCAGATAATTAAAACTTGCACCAACAGCCCCAGGCTTGGAACAGATAAGGAAGGGGATCAATAAAAAAACTGGCATCATTAAACTGGGTCAGCCCCTGGCAATTCCACATTCTTGGATTGGCAGGATCCTGTGCCATTCTCTATCACATTGAGGAAAAAACACCTTTAAATCAAAGTGAATACACACATGGATAGGCCACAGTGATTTAATGCTAAGAGTTTTAAGCAGATTCATTTAAAATGTACTTTGGCAATGGAATTTACTGAAAGATGGACATCCAAAAAAAAGACAAGCAGGCTGAATTAAGAGACACGTGCAAAATACTGCCAGTCAAGGTACCCATCACACCCCAGTTATTTACAAAGCTCAGGGGAAGGATGTGGTTTTCTCAAACCACAGCAAATGCAAAGAAGAGCAATTTACTTTATTGAGCTTGGAGCAGCATGATCTAGCATTGATGTAGTCACATTCCAGATCTGATAGCGTGATTATCTGAGGTTCAGGATAAGGAAACACATTATGGTAATTCAGAATTCACAAAGCTTTCATTTTATCCAATAAACTGGGGACAACCCTCTGCTCTCAGCATCCCCTGCCTTGCTCTGTCAAAGGCATTTTTCAATTAGTCACAACTCACTCCTAGTTTAGATAGAAGGTTTGGTTATATTTTATCATCAGGCCAAGTGATTTTATTATGTATTCCCAAGGGCAACTGTTGCACAAGTGCTGAAGTTCAGTTCAGTCCTTAAATAGACCAGGCAGGCAAACTTGCAGTATCAAAATTGTTGATACAATTGTATAATCAAACAGTATTTTTAGTATCAAAATTGTTACTCTAACCCTTGTACAATTGTATAACCAAACAGTACTTTTAGTATCAAAATTGTTACTACAAGTCTTGTAAAATTGTATAATCAAACAATATAATAAAATATAAACAATATAATACAATCAAATGATCCTGCAGTTCTGTGACACTGGCAAATGCTGTCTGATACTTTTAGTATCAAAATTGTTACTACAACCCTTGAACCCAAAACTTAATGGGCAGGAGAAGCTGCTAATGCACTTTTAAACTCTCCTCACACAACTGTGCAGTTTTAAGCAGTGAATCTACTTTTTTTTCCCTAACATTTATAACAATAGTGAATTAATTAATGCTTTGCTAGGAAATAAGAGGGTAACTTTCATTACTGAGTGAACTTTCAGACTGAAATATGAATATTTCAGACAGAAAAGTCCTCTTAAAAAGGCTTAGGATGCACATGTGCCCCTCACCATGCTCATGTAGAGCTCATGGTTCTTTTCTCCAAGGAAATGAACACTAAGACATCTTTTTCCTATTCCTAAAAAACGGGTAAAGTCTGTTCATTTTTCAACAACTTATCCTTCTAGGAGGAATTTTTTTTTTTATTGGTTTTGTTAGAAGAACTGGGCAGTCCCTGAAAAAAATTCTCATCGGGACTGAAAGAACGCGCAAGAAAAAGAAAACAAAAATTAAAAAAAAAAAAAAGAAAAAAGAAAGCCAGTTCTCGTTTATTGAGAAAAGCAAGGAAAAAAGGTGAATATGTGCAAGATTGCGGACCAGCGCCTAACAAAAGAACATTGAAACGCAGCTCGGAGCGCACACAGCCAGCACAGCATTGAAAACCCCGCTGGCCGCGCTCTCCAGGCCCGCGCAGCTCCCTCAGCCGTGCCCGTGTCCCCTCAGCCGTGCCCGTGTCCCCTCATCAGCCCCGGCCGTGTCCCTTCAGCCTCGCCCGTGTCCCCTCAGCCCCTCCCGTGTCCCCTCAGCAGCCGCGGCCCCGCGGAGCGAGCCCGGCCCGGCAGCCGAGCCCGCGCCAGCCCCGCCCCGCCGCCCTCAGCCCCCCGCCGCCTCAGCGGGCCCGGCCCGGCCCGGTGCCCCTCGCTGCCCACGCCGCGCCCGCCGCAGGAGCAGGATACGAAGTAGACGGAGAGGAAGATGAGGGCGCAGCAGTCGATCAGCGAGAAGATGAAGACCACCGACTCCATCCCGCCGCCGCCGCCGCGCCCGCCGCGCTCGGGCCCTCCCGGCCGCCGTAGGCGCCGCCTCGCCCGGGCGGGCCCGCGCAGCGAGGCATGCTGGGAAATGGAGTGCGTTCTCCCGTAGGGTGGCGGCCATGCGGTACCGGCCCGGCCGCGTCTCCGATCCCCGGCTGAAACAGCGCATCAAGCAGGTACCGCCTGTCCTCCGGGGCACCCCGGACACCCCCGGCACCCCCGGTACCACCGGTACCGGCAGCCGGCGTGGGGTCTTGTGTATCCTCCTCTGGCTGAGGGCCGTGAGCATCCGGCCCGCTCAGTGCTAGGAGAGCACCAAACCCCGGCCCTGCCTCTGAGGGCTTTAGAAAGGCCTTAAAAGGCTTCAGAAAGGTCCATTGGTTTATTTTACTGATTTAAATTTTCTGTAAAGTCTTTTTTTTTCCGTGTCATTTCTCTGCCCTCTTTACCACGTTTGGTGTTGAGGCTGGCTGCTGCTGCCTCGCTTGTGAAATGAATAGGGCAAAAGAGATATATAGTCAAAGTATTTTTATATATTTTTTTTTATATATATCTATATTTATTTTTATATTTATCTGTGTGTATATATATACACACACGGTGTGCGTCTGTATGTATATATGCCTATGTATATATATGTAGATATATAGGTGTATATATATGCACACATATATGTAATATATATTCTATTTATTATTATATATATTTATATATTTTTATTCATACATTTACATGCACATACCTATATACCACATGTATAAATATACACACACACACACACATATATATATATATACACACATATATATATACATGTGGTATATAGGTATCTGTATGTAAATATATATATATATATTTATTTATATACCTATATACCACATGTATAAATATAAATATATATATTTGGTATATAGGTATCTGTATGTAAATATATATGTGTTTATACATATATATTTGAACCTTAGGAAGAATTTCACTGAAAGGGTGATTAGACATTGGAATGGGCTGCCCAGGAGGGGATGGAGTCACATCCCTGGCGGTGTTTAAGGAAGGACTGGATGGTGATCAGTCATGATTTGGACATGATAATTTCAGAGATCTTTTTCAACCTAAACGATCCTGCAATTCTGTGACACTGGCAAATGCTGTTTGTGTTTGGAAACATGTTCAGGGATTTTATTGAATAGCTGAGAAAAGGGCAGAATGGGATTACTTCCCAAATACATGGCGAGAACAACAGGGCAAACTGTGATTCCTTCAAGTGCTGTGATTCCTTCAAGTGTCACATCTTATGGTCGTTTGTAATGACTTTGCACCTTGAACTCCGGGTTTCTGAGTACATTTATACATTTTCTGTATAAATGTACTCCACTTCTAATTCCTTAAAATGAGGCAGTGACTGCTTGGTGTAATTCACAAGATCACATTGAGTGTGTCTTGAGTATTCCAAAGTGGAAAAGGCAGCTGGGTTTGTGGTAGCCTTGATGTTTCCTGCAGGGCAGGAGCTGCCCATGGGTGATCTGAAGTGCAGCATCATTTTAAAAGCTAAATATATGTTCAATTTGATTGTTTTCTATGGAGTTATTAACTTAAATGAGGGTTTGAAATCCTCCTTGCTGTGATACTTGTGATACCAGATCTTTTAGGATGATTCTGTATTTTCTTCCTCTTTTTCCAGAAGGAATCCATTTTTATGGTATCAAAAGTTCTTGCTGCTGGTTTGGAGAGTGGGGGAAGAAAGCAAGTGGAGTACAGTTGTACATGAAATTTAGTACATTTTCTCACACTTTCATTATTGAGGTTTGAAAATGGGTGGGATTAGCTGCTGTCAGAGCAATAAAAAGGCTTGAGAGAATTTACTTTATTAATATAGTTCTCTATAGCATGCTCTGAAATGTCTTGTAAAGATTCAAGTTGTTCCTGTGAGAGTATCCCTGCTGGTTCATATAGATGGATTCATTTTTGGGGCAGGAGATCTAAACCAAAAGGAGGATAAATGAGAGGAACCAAGACAATAAGATGGTGTGGGGGCTACAAAATCAGCTTTCTTGCTAAGTAAAAGTCACAGAATTGACCCAGCAGAAGCTCCCAAGTATAGGATGCTGCCTTTGCCCAGGAATCTGTGCTTTAATCAACATTTCCCAGCTCAATGGGAAAAAATGTCTGGTGTGTTGCAAGGCAGTGAAAAGCTGATTCTGATTCTCATTTCAGCTTTTGAGGAGGACAAAATTTAAAATAGGCATATTTGGTCAAGCTGTTCTGGTGAAGTGATTGACAAAGATTTTATTCCCTGCTTCAAATTCTTCATTTCAGTATCTTGCAAGTAGCAAATGTGGGCAGTATGTTGACATTGGAATTCTAGCATCGGATTTGCAGAAAACCTACAGGTGAGCCAACATTTGTCTTCTTATATCCTGTGTTCAAAATGTAGAATATATTACTTTGTTCTATTGCATTCATTATGGAAGTTATAATTTTCTGTATATTACCTTCATTAGCAGTTGTTGAGGCTGATTGAAGCAGTAAGATTGTTTGGTTTCCCTCTGCTGATACATTTAATGACTTATATTTTATTCATTCATTGGCATTATAAGATCTAGCTGTGATTTGGGTTTTTTATGGGTTGATTTTTGTTTTGTTTGAAATAAAAAGCTGCAGATTCATTGCAGCATGTGAGTTTAAAATGTGTAACACCTCAGTGCAGACATGGGGGAGGGACAGAGGGTGCAGTAAGACACCAATTAATACCTTGCTCAGTTGCTCAGCAGGACAGTCACCTTTTTGCCCAGGTAGTTTTTAAATCTATTTTCCATGTACTTTTTCCACTAGGAATGATGCTATGTTGAAGGAAAAACCAGTTGGTGTAACCTGTTTATTTTGTTTTACTTCAGTGTAGATTATGGACGAAGAAAAAGAAATGCCTTTAGGATACAAGTTGCAAAAGGTAGGTCTGTTAATACAGTGTCCAAAATGCCCAATTCTTTGTGCTTTGGCTGTTAATTTTTAAAAAGGTTGAACTTTTTTCTTGCAGTGTTTGAAATAATCAGCAATGAAAAGGAACGTGAAGATTTGGCAGTTTTAGAATCTGAGCATGTGGCAAAAAGAGCAAGACAGCAAGAGAAAAATGAGTAAGAAGAGTTTTTACTACTAAATTAACAATGCCATTGCTGTTACCAGTTCTTTAAAGCTTTCTGGGTTTGGTTTATTGCATTTTGGTTGCTTCAAGGGTGCAGCTGGATCCCATAGGCTTGTGTTCTTTAGAAGTTACCTGTAGTTATTGGGAGCTTTTTTTAGTGCTGAAGACAAGCAGATATTAGAGCCAATCATGATTTTTCTGTTGTGGGGAACATACAGCCCTGAATTAGTGGACAACCTTATGGCTTCCTTGAGAGTTTTCCACATAATGCCCTGTTCCTCATGTGTTTCAGTTCCTTGGTTTTGTTCTTAATTGTTTTTGGTTGTGGGAGATACTGGCCACATCTGAGAGATGAGATTATCAGACAGGCAGTTCAGAGTAAATCACCAGTGGGGAATGAGGATTTCCTGACTCCTAACCCTGTCCATAGTCCCATGGAGTGTTGTGTTTTCTCTAACCTGGGACAGATATGAAGGATCTCATGGGGAAGCAGGACACTGTTGGCAGAAGGATTGGTCTGGTTCAGCAGTGATTTGCTCCTGTTTCCCTTGGTGAACTGAGTCAGAGTGAGCTACATCACTTTTATGTTGGTCTGTCTTTAAGACAGGTTGGCAAATTGATCCAACTCATCACACACTTGGAAAGAATGCATTTTTTAACTTTTCATCTTTTTCATCCTAGAAGATTGAGAGCATGGGAGTCAGGAATTTCTCTTTCTACATACCATGATTGTGGGGAACCACATTGTAGAAATCACTTCTGTTTTATTTTACAGATGTCTCACCTGCAGTTCTGCTCTGATAAATTAATAATTATTGTCTTCCTTCCCTGTTAAGCACTACTGGAAGTGGCACAGATGACTCTGACTATGATGATTATCCAGAAGATCTAGTAAGTTGTATTTTATTATGATTGTTTGTATTTGTATAATATATAATTCTATGTTGGGAAATTGAAGAGTTTGGAAGGGGAGCTAGAGATAAGGTGTAGTCAGAGTGAGCAATTCCAACTGAGACTCTCTGGAGCTGGAAGGAGGAAGGAAAAAGAGGAACTTGTGGTGGGGAATCACTTTTGGGAAGGCACACTGAGGGCCTGAAGGACTTTGGTATCAAATGGGTGAAGTGATTGAAGGAACTGACATCTCCAGCTCCTGCCTAAAGAGTAGCCTGTCCATTAATAGGAGTCATTAGAATTCATTCAGAATTCCATCTGAATCTTTACTTGATAGAACCTCAACCTTCAGGCAGCACATGCAGCTTTCTGTGCAGTCATTTGGTTTGCAGAGGAGTGGGTTGGAAGATGCATTGCCTGTTTTCTCCAGCAGAGATAATGCTGAATTATGTTTATGAAATAGTTTTCATTGACCTCTAAATATAAATAATCCAAGTTAAAACCTGCCCTGTGTGTTTTCTTTACAAATATGTAAATCTGCAGTCTACAAATCACATGAACAGTTCCCTGCTGAGCTTGTACAAGAAAGGAAATCCTGATTCTGTTCCTTCCACTCCAAAAAATGAACCAGTGGAGACCTCTCCTCAAACAAGCACCCTCACTCCAGAATCCAGAGGTGACAGACCAGTCTCTGATGGTGGCTGGTTCATTGATAAAACCCCTGATGGGAAAGACTTCTTCATTGACCTTTCTGAGGATGGAGAAGGAGAGGAAAAGAAACTGATTTCTGAGGTACTTTGTGTTTCACAAACCCAAGGTGTTCTAAGCAGATGCATCAAGAGAATTGGCACATTTCAAGCATGTTTGTACAGAAAGTAGAAAGTCACCAAGTAATGAATTTTTTCCAGATTTTTTTGAGGAAAATGTAGTTCTCAGTATCAAGGAGGCCCAGATTAGTGCCCATACTGAGGGAAAGATGAGTGGGGTGTAGC